CCGGCGGCCGCCTGCCCGCTCGCTCCGCCCCGGCCCGGCCCCGGCGGCGCACGCGCGGGGAGGCGCGGCGGTTCCCCGCGGAAAGCGGCGGCGCGGGCGCGCTCTCGAGGGGGCTGCGCGGGTGCGAAGCGCCGCGCCCGCTTTGGCTTCGCGCCCCTCGTGGGCACGAGTAGCGGGCGCGCCGTGCCGGAGCGGGAAGCGGCGCGCAGGGGAGCCGCGGCCAAGGCCCGGGAGGGAGGCTGAGGCTTGGGAGGCGCCGGGGCGGGCCTCCGCGCGGAGGGATGCCGCCGGGGGAGCAGGGCCAAGCGCCCTCGCCCTGCCGTTCTCCCGTGTGCGCGCGGGGAGGTGGCGGAGATGGACGCCCCGGAAGCCTGGCGCTTTGCGAGCGCCCTGGGCTGGCGGAAGGCGAGCGAGGGAGTCCTGGGTCAAGGCCAGCCAGAGCTTCGCCTGGAAGCCAAAGTGGCCACAGCGAGGCTCTCATTCTCTGGACACATCATGAGCAGGGGAGGCTGCCTAGAGGAGACGGTCCTGCTGGGGAAGGCCGGCAGGGGAGGCCAAACATGAGATGGGCTGAAGCCATGAAGGAGCCAAAGCCTTGACCTTGGAGGGGCTGAACGGAGCTGTCGCAGACTGGGCATTTGGGAGGGCTTGCGTTCAAGTCAGAGATGACCTGCAGCACAGAACAACCTGACAATGTGGTAGGAACACACTGTAGGAGCGGTGGGGGTGTTACATGGCATTTAGGGACATGCCGCGTTACGCTATCCAAGTTAAATATAATCCTGTTTCAAGTGCTGCTGTTTCTTTGCTGTCCAGCGGTGATGGTCGTGTGTGCCAGGATCCCAGTAATAGTCTCCGCTGCATCTTTGAATGCCCCAGCACCTGCCGGCGTGGCTTGCTCTGTGCTCTGGGTGGAGGGGAAGGACACCGAGGCGCTGTCTTTGCATCAGGTTGGGAGGCGCTCGATTAGAAAAGGAAGCCTTTGTGGTCAATTTGGTGTCTCTCGTGGGGCACGCCCACACGGTGAAGCGGGGGGACATTGCCGGGCCCCGACGAGATTCAGGGCCGATGCCACTGGGGCACTCGGGCACCTAGGCGAGGCCGTGGATGTGCTTGGGCAGAGTCTGGCTCCAACAGTGGGCTGAGCAACAGCTGGCAAGCGGAAGTTCAGTCCAGGCAGGACTGAGATGCTCCTGTGGGCAGTTGCTTTGCCCAGGTGAGGGGTGTTCGCTCAGGCTGCACTCCCCCTGAAGGAGCAGTTTGTAGCCTGAAGGCGCTCCTTGACCCAGCCCAAACCCTGGCCCAGTCCTGAATTATTTTCTCCCTTTTCGTCCTCCGGAACACTTGATCGCCTTCACTTCAGGGAGACTTGAGGGCCAGGAAGAGGGACATTGCCAGAATCCATATGAGTCCATCCTCTCCATCCAAAACCCCTAAAACTGACTGGTGGTGGACCAGGGAGCTACACAAATTTCTTGAGAAAGGCTTGGAAATCAACAACAAAAAACCACAAGCAAATAGACAGAAGGTTATAGAAGAACAATTTTCTTAAATCATTCTGGTGCGAAAATCAACAACGCAGCCATTAGCCACCAACAAAGTAAAGCTGGCTGTGTGCACACAGGCAGTCCCCCAGCACCGCCGAGACCGTGACGTGTTAGTCGAGCCGGGGCTGGGACCCCGCTGGGGCCGGGCTCCTAGGTGAACTTCTTCATAAATCGGAGCTTGCTGTATGCTATCAGGAGGAAGATGACCGCCATGCACAGAAGAGCCACCATGTTCTCCCACATGGCCCAGTTGGTCGGCTCGATTCCTTGGCTGCAGAGGTAGGCCTCTCCAGAGCACCTGCCAAAGAGGGACGCACAGATTCATTGGCTGGCTGAAGCCGGCCTCGTGGCAGGTGTCGCTCCCCATGTGAGCCATCAAGGGGCCCCCTTCGCCAGGTGGTCTTTCATATTCAGGAGACCATTTTGCCTCCCAGCGCAGGTGGACGTACTGCTAGCATCATCTGTGCATGTCACATACCGACCGGGGCTCGAATGCCCTCGCCTCCTTGGCGTTTACGGCTGGGTGGTGCGTGCGTGCGTGCGTGCATGCCGACTTGTGACGCCTGTTGTGGTTTGTGCTTGCAAGTGTGCAGAGCTGTGGCTTGCTGGCCAGGGCAAGCACCCCGGGTGGTCTGGTCTGCTCATCTGGTCATGCCTTTGCCCCGCTAGGGAGGCTGATGGGCGCTGCCAGCCAAAACCCTGGGAGGGCACCAGGTGCCTGCCCCCAGTTTAAACTTTGTTTTTTAAGAACAACTAAGATCCTGACTTCAGAAAAACCCTGAGTGTAGATACAATGGGGAAAGGGCGACTCGTTTAAAAGCTGAAATCAGCACTTCCAGTTAATGCCTAGCAGGGTGGATGCGGGGCCAAAAGTCCAAGGATCAGGCAGGCTTGTTTGTTTAGAAAGGAGCCAGGCTTCCCCATCATGACTGTACCAGCTCTTAACCGAGGACTCTGTCTGAGTGATTACAACATTTTAATCGAGTCGCAGTTCGTCTCATTTAACATCACTGCAGATTTTTATACTTTTTAATAGTCCTGAGCTGAAATGCCACCCCATGAGGCTGCATTTGAGTTCATAAAAGGAGTTCAGGATGGAATGTGTCCCGTCCAAAGCTCACCGCTGCTTGTGGCGCTCCTCTTGGTGTGGTGGCTGCCAGGCAGCCCTGTCCCCCAACCCCCTCCCAACAGTGTGGAGTTTTCCACAACAGACAATGTGTGACATGACTTAGGAGTCATTTTTGCAAGCAATCTTAAATTTAAGAGGGCAACCATTATTTTGTTAGAATATGTATTCTTTTCAGGCTAGGATAAAATAGACTGACACTTACATCTGTGTAACTGAAGAACCGTGGGGACAACTGTGCATGGGTGGCGCTTGTGTGGTGTTTCTGTCGCAGAAATGCAGGTCTCTGAACTCGTTTACTTCAAGGGCCTGCGCAGAAGGTCACATCAGAGCCGTGCGAACAACAAAGCATCTCTAAACCAGCTGACCATGTTGATTCAGCATTTGCAGCTTTTAATCGATTCGCGGCCAAACTGTGCTACTTCAAGAGAAAACCAGCCCAAGACAACTTTCACTACTTAAACAGGTTCATGATTACAGCTGAATGCATTTACTTGGTCTAGCCTGAAAAAACCTTTGAAGGTCTGGACCAGGGGTCCTCAAACTTTTTCAACAGGGGGCCAGTTGAAAGGCGGTGGTGATGGGTGGGCCAGCGAGGTGGGGGTGCCCTGGGGCGCGGGCTGCTGAGGTGGCGGCAGGCGTGTGCGAGGTGGCTCGCTCGCTTGCTCGCTCGCTCGGAGATCTCCCAGCGAGTCTGAAACCATCTCCGAGCAAGTGAGCCGCCGCCTTGTCGCCTGCACAGCGAGGTGGCGGTGAGCATGTGCGCATGGCGAGGCAGTGGTGGCGGGTGTGGGGAGTCCAGGACCTCTGGGGCGGGCTGGATAAATGGGCATGGCAGGCCAGATCTGGCCCGTGGGCCACAGGTTGAGCTGGGCTCGCAGCATCGTCTGTGTGTTTATAGTGGGAAAAACACTTAACGTTTTCAGGCAAGGATGCACTAGTCACGATCCTCTTCTGGAGATCCTGCAAATTCCTCCTCTCCTCTCTCTCAAGTCCCACAAGCGTGTGCTGAGGGCTGCTGAGGTCTCCTCTCCTTTGGGGAGAGGGCCTTGCCTGGGCTCATCCCAGCTCAGATGCTGGGGCCCCGTGTGCCGAGGCCCTCCGCCACGTCACCCTCTGCCTCCGAGTCCAGATTGGCGGGACCCAGGAGCGTGTGCCCAGAACAGCAGCCACTCTCGTGTGCGTCACCAAGCCTTCAAAGAAGAACTTGCGATCCCAGTATAGGGGAAAGCCGGGGAACCACCAGGCGCAGGGCTTCCTGCACCCCCACCAAGAGCCCGCCTTTCCGGCCTTCACAGATTTTTTGTGGTACGAGAAAAGATGGAAGGAGCGGCGGGGAAACGCAGGGTGGTTACAGCCTGGCAGTGGCGGCTGCGCTCGCCCCGTAAAATTCTGCGTGGGGCAGGCTGACCCCGGAAGCCCATCTGAAGCAGTCAGAGCGGTGCACGAATGAAAGGCCCTTCTTGCTACGTTACAAGGAGGCCTAATTTTGAACAAGATACTGATTGCTTAAATGGAAAGAAGAGTCATAAGCTCCCTGAAGTGAAGATGCATAACTGCAGCATACTAACCGTGAGGCCATATCTGGGAATGCTCAAATATTTCAGCCAGTTCAACCAGCCCATCACAGAGGGAAGATTCACTAATAAGCCGGAAAAGATCTGGAATTGTGGGGAGGCAAAATGATCTTGTCATACATTTTAGCCTTCAGGAAAGAATCCCAACCGGGCTTAGAGGCAAGCAACCCTCCTCACACCGTCAGATGACATTAAATTGATGAATAGACACTCCAAGTAGGAAGTGGCGGAAAGGGAGGCTCTCACATTGGCGACTCACCATCATGAAGACGAAGCAAATGGTGATGAGCAGGTTGGCGACGGCCACCACTTCCATTCCAGCTGAAATGGCGAGGGCCATGGAGGTGGAGGTGTAGGACACCAGGACCAGCGTCAGCATGAAGAAGAAGAACCGCTCCGCCGCCACCTGGTAGCCTGGAAACCGCGAGGCAGACAGAGCCGTGTGTTGCCGGGCGTCAGGGCCAGAAGGCGCGGCGCAGCGGCACAGCATTGAGGAAAGACCCGGCACACGGCCCAGAGTGGAAAGGCCTCCCCGTCCCGGTTGCCTGGAGAAGGGGCCCCGGGCCTGGGCAAGCCACTGGGAGCACGTGGGGCAGCCCTGCCCTGGACGTGCCCGTGCTTTGGGGTTGCTTGTCGCCCCCACACAGGCCCCTCCAGGCAGCTCACTCATGAGCACAAGTTGCCGGTGTGACCAGAATGAGTTCAGATAGAACAGGCAGCTTCTAACGCAAGCCGACGGCAGCTACTCGCAAGAGGAAAGGAAACCAGAAAAGGAAGCCAGCAAGGAAAGGGGCAAACGAGCTTCTGCCGGAAGGTGTCCCCAGCGCGGCACCCGTGCTCCCCATTCTGCCCACAAATGCTTCGCATAGCACCAGAGGAGGGACTTGATTCTTCAGCATTGTGTCTTATTGATTTATTTGGGTGGCTGGTTTGTTTATGTGCATGCATGGATTTGCATGAAATGCATGCAGCTTTCTAGCAATTAAACCCAGGGTTCAATAAAGGTGGATCAAATCCTCAAGCAGGCTGTTATCTGTAGGTTACTATTCATGTACTGGAAGTGCTGTAAGGTCTCCAACCCTCTCATTATAGGAGGGAAGTATTCATGCTTCCAGTCTTGTACTCTCACTCTTTCAGTTTATTTGTTTTATGTATTTAAAACTTTTATATACTGTCCACTGCCAAGGTCTCGGAATGGTCTTGCAAGCTCACAGAGAGCCCGCACCCCATCTGTTCATTCCCTTGAAGCAGGAACAGTGCAGGAGAGCCTGCGGATCAGGGAAAACTACAGGCTATTCCAGTGCACTTCTCTGCCTGAGTTCTTTGTGATGCTCCCTTGCACACGGAAATTTGCAGGGCCTTTCCATGACATCATTATCCTTTCCCATGATGTTCACAACATCATGAGCTTTCCAGCATTGTTGGGGGTCTTTTAGAGCAAGGAAAATCCATTGGATTTTAGGCTGCACAACCCGAATGAAGACCTCCTGAAACTCCCCTGTAGTGGTCGGTAGATACACAGAAGGCAGAGAAATAAAAAGCCTCACGCAAAGGGTGTGTTTTCCTCCACGGTAAAGAAGATGACTCTGCACAGCAGAGGGTTAAGCGCCTCACGCTGAGAATTCCTGTGTTGCTGCAGCTGCTACACGCTGTCCAGTCGCCTCTGATCTGGGGAGACCTCGTGGATGAGCGTCCTCCACACGCCCTGTCCAGGACAGCCCCGCTGAGCTGTCGCAAGCAGCGACTACTGGCCATTGCCAAGAAGCACTAGCTCTGTTGCCCCACTAGCACTGCGCTGGATCAGGCCATTCTTATTACAGTGCAGTGTCCCTAGTGGGCAGGAAACAAAACCTTTTTGCTGAGTAAGGCTGAGCTGAAGATTCATAGGCGAGAAAGAGTGGCACTGTAGCATTTCAGCTTTCTGTGGGGAAGCTTGTGGTATTTTATTCAATGGGTCCCAAAAGGTCCCCCCACCCCACCCAATGCCCATTGGCATGGAGTGCCACCATCCTGCAGTGGGCCCAGAGAACTCCGGTCAACCAGACTCTTGGTGGCCATGGCTTCAGATAAGCTTGGCAGAGGTGGTGCTCTCTTTGGAAGGAGCGGTCGCATAAGCAGAGGAGAGTGGACATCCCTAACGGGGATGGGCAGAGAAACTCTCGAAGGGCAGCTGCTGGGCAGCAGCGGCACTGGAAGGACCTTTCATGGACAATGGCAGTGATGCTCAAGCTCGCTCTGGTGAGCTTGAAGAAGGCCATGGGAAACCTTCGGAGGGAGGGAGAGTGCCTCGGCTGCTGGGCAATAGATCAATGAATTATGGACATTAGTTAAATGCATCCGTACCAAGCCACTTCTGAATATTCTCACTGTGTTGGTCCTACGAGGAATTTACCCAGAATGAAACGAGATGGTGCCAGAAGGTGAGATGCCCCAGCTGGAAGAAACTCAACCAGCTACTGGGGAAGAGCGAAGGACACGTACGAACAGTGGATCTGCATCCTGAAAGGCAGGCGCCGAAGAGGAGAACCTTGTAAACTGCTCTCCTGCACTAGAGAAATTCAAAAAAGAAACTGGGCAGCCACCTGAGTGGGGTCGGTGTGACGTGGTGTCCTGCAAAAGCAGGGGGCTGGACCCAATGGCCTTCATGGTCCCTTCCAACTCTACTATTCTAGGATTCTATGATTCTATACCTGGGGTTCCTCACAAGACGGTGGGCTATAAAGGCAATAAGATGCTAATAATCAATCAATCAATATAATAAACGCAAATGATTATGTTGCTTCCATTCCCACATGGGTTGTCCTGGTTCCCTGCCACTAGATGTGTTGTAGCGCATGACACAGAAATCTTGTGCCCTGAGGAGGACACGGTGCGAGCGAGCGAGTGAGCAAGAGAGAGAGAGAGAGAAAGCAGGACAGCAGCCAAAGCCATAAAAGTTATTTACCGATCATCCAGTAGCTTATGCATGAAAATATGACTGCAGGCATGGTCCGCATGGGCAGCAGATCCCCAACAAGCAAAGCCAGGAAATAGGCTGAGACTTGGTAATACCCGCTGGTGTACTGGTGGCTGTGAGGACAGGAAGGAACATGACTGATGGAAAGAGGCTAGTTCAGAAAGGGCTAGAAACAACCGGGGATTTAGTCGAGCTATTCTTCAGCTCACACCCGAGGACTGACACTGCTGCTCTCGCTGAACGTAATGTATCTTAGCCCCGTTCTCAGAGAGGAGTGGTTCTCTCCCAGTTAGTTAGCCTTAAAGTTACACCTGTTCTAGCAGGGCTTTGGAAGGCACACGGGCGCACACACGAGGGCCAGCACTGGACTGCTTCAAGCACCACCTTTGCCTTTCTGCCCGCAGCAGGCTACCTTGCCTGGGCAGCGGCCAGGCCTAGACATGAGGCGCTTGCATGCTGTCCTTCAAAGGGGACTCGGACCTCAGTTCCTCGCGGAAACACTGCCCAGACCGCCTGGCACCTCTAGGGGTGGCCCTGCGCTTGTGGAGCTCTCCCTGGCTCTGGGCCCCACAGGAGGGGCTTCCAGGCAGGCCCGCCAAAGCTGGCCTCCTCCGGGCTGCTCTTGTGTGTACGGGCAGCTGGGCTTCTGCGCTTCCAAGCGGTTTATTTGTTTGTCAGAGGGTTTATGGAATCAGTTAGTGCCATGACACTAAGGAACTGCTTTCTTCTTTCAAGGAAATCATACGCTGTAGGTTTAGCAGCTCCCTTCCAAACTCATCAGCCACCAGCTGTCCCCACTGCTTTGTGCTAAGACGTGATACTTACATAAATAATTTCTTATCCTTGATGAACAGCTCCACGGCTGACACACTTGAGAAACACTGGTTTGTGATTATAAAAAACAACGATCCAACTCTGAAAGGGGAAACCAAAATGAAATCAGCTGCTGTCATTATCCACTAGAACTTTATATAGAGTCTTGGAATCTGTCTGGAGCAGAAATATCTATTTTCCCAATAGCCCAAAATATACTCTCTAGCAGATAGAAGAGTGCATGACACAGAGTGCTTCTTAAAAGTATAATTTTGAGAACTGTTCGAAAACCTACTTTCAGTCTTGTCAACCTTTGCTTAAATGACATACAACTGTGTTTGTTCTAACCCAAAAAAGAGCATAGCAACTCCCAAAATGTTGTGTTTATTTATTTGGAATGCTACACATTCAAATATGTTTATCTTCAAGAAATATAAATTACTGGCACACATTAGCTGAGAACTCACATTGGACACGGTTTGGGATCTCATTTTTGCAAGGGCAGGTATGGTGGAAATGAAAGTGGCATGTGAGGAGATGTCCAGCAAGAGTCCAGCAAAGAGCAAGTTATTCACATCGTACTGAGAAGCCTCCAATTTCCAGAAGGCCTTTCCCAACAATGAGGGATAGAAACTTACTTGTTTGCAGAGAAGAAATTACCACGGAGCTGGCGTAGCCTGGGTGTGGGAGGAAAGTTCCTTACACATGGAAGTGGCCAACCTGGAAGGGTGTTCCGGCCCTCCAGCATCAACAGCAGCGTGAACAGGGAACCGTGGGGGGGGGGGGGGGAGGTTGCTTCCCATTTGGTATTGCAGCTGGAAGGAGCACAGGGGCGAGGGGGCCCAGGGGGTGCCAGTGGCTTGCCTTCCTGCCCACCCTTCTGCCCAGCCGCCCTGTGGTCCCTGCACTCTGCTTGTGCTCTGTCATCCCATCCTGGAGTCAGCCCTGAGGACGTTATGGAATTCCACACTGCAGAAATAAATCCCAAATGTAGTTACCGATTTTGAATGCCACTTTGGTCAAGCTTTACATCGAAGAATATGGTTCCCACGATCAGTGCCAGGACAACGGTCACAAAAACCTGGGGCATAAAAGAAAGACAATGAGCGAAAAACCGAATGCCACAGCAAAACACCAGCCTTTTGCTGATGCTTGGAAAAATTCAGAAGAAGCAAAGCAATGGGGTTTGTTAACGCAGGTCAACTTCTGTTGGTGAAGCAATATGCCAGATGTCACATCATGCAGAGCTTACTACAGAGAACGGGAAGTTACTTATTGTGAAAATGGTTTGCATTAATGCAGTTACGAAAGGAAGCATCTCTGTGCGGCCCCCATCCAGCGCAAGCAGAGCGTTTCTCCTGCGGGGCTGCCCTGCTCTCGGGCGGCTGGGGTCCCCGGCTCGCAGCCCGGTCGTCAGCCACGCCACGAGGGCAGGATCCCGCGTACCGCAGGCCCTCATCTGCAACATTCCTTTCGCGAGTCATGCTGCTCTCCTCACCTGTGCGACAGAAGCCTGGGGGTTTCGGATGAGGTTTTTGAGGGAGCGCTGAGACACCCAGTGCAGCTGAGTGAAGAAGCCGTTGGCGTAGGTCACGTGGGCCGTGCGCCCCGACATCTTCGGCGAGCTCCCCCGGCCGTCTCCCAGCTTCTTTAGCTCCTCCATCATGTCCTGGCACTGGGCGGAGGCCAGGTACTTCTCATGCAGCCTGTCCACCAGCGTCGTCCCCATGGTTTCCTCCTGGGTGTCCTTCTCGTTGTCAGTTTCTGCGGGGAGAAAAGCACCCAAGGAGGGACTCGTTTCTCCTCCGGAAACGGAGGGCCCTGCAGGGGCAGATCTGCTCTCTGGGCAGAGCACCTGCCCGGCTTCCCGCTGCGCCTGGACGCTTACCGGCGCCGTCCCGCTCCTCTCTTCCCCGGGGCCTCTGGCCAGCCACGCCGGCCGCCACAGCGGTGGAGTCGCCGTTGATTACATCGAGAAAGAAGTCAGCCGGGTTGTTGAAAGGCTCGCACTCGTACCCTACGGAGCGAGCAAGCACCGCGGTGAGTTGGATCCCTTCGCCCGAGCGCCAGCTGCTGTGCTCAGCCAGCAGCCTTTCTTACAGGATTCAGAACGAAATCGAATGTTAAGTGATTCCAGGGTCCTTAAGCCCACAGCCTGTGCCGTGAAAACCCAGCCACCTTCCTTAAAAGCAGCTCCCACCCTGGAAGCCAGCTGCTGCTGGCCGGCCATTTCTGACACGGCCACAAGACACGGCGGAGAAAGCCGCACTGCCCAATCTGATGGGGCAGATTCTGAGCGTGTGGGGGGAAGCTCAGTCCTGGGGGTCTGCTGTCCCCACCCCACAGGTCCTTTCTGTCACTATTTCATGGGTTAGTCAGTCAAGAGGGCCAGGGTGAGGAGGGTGTGCCCGACCTCCCCATGACCAAAGGCTCTCCCCGGAGCCCCCACAGCTGCCCCATGGGGCCTAAATGGGGGGGGCATTTGGGTTTGGTGGGATCAGCATCAAGACTGAAGCAGGATTTTGTGGCTTGTTACAGGCTCCTCGATTGCACCTGGCATTTGCCCTGGAGCCTGCTCTGGGGAGGTTTATTGGCTTGCTGTCTTCATGGTGCGGGGGTCCTTCGGCTATCAGTCCCAGCTCCCTGCTCAGGGCAAGAATCTAGTTTAAATATCCAGTTAAAACATGCTCCCTCTCTGCCTTCTCTTTTCAAGACTAAATATACCCAGTTCCTTCTATCTTTCAGGTTCTAGTCCCCAATAAGCTTTCTTGCCCTTCTCTGATGTCATTCCAATTTATCTGAATCCTTTTTAACTTGGAAGTATTTTTTCTGTGATTTTGAAATGTGAATCACATTCTCCTTTCTCACACACACCTCACACTACTACAATTGCATTGCTATCCCACCTTTCCTTGTCTTGTAAAGAACCCCAGGGTTCATCTCCTCTCCATTTTATCCTCACAACAACCCTGTAAGGTAGGTTAGGCTAAGGTTCTGTGACACTCCAAAAGCCCCCCAGTGAGCGGCAGGGTTCAGTGGGGATCTGAGTCTGGGTCTCCAGAGTCTGTAACCAGTGGGCCACACTGCTGACTCGGCTGTGATCAGCTGCACCCCTTTGTCATTGCAGTGCTCTGGAAATAACAAAGCGAGCTTACCAATGGAAGTAAAATACTCCAGAGCTTCCTTGGCTGGCCCGTGGTAGAGTACCTTCCCCAGGGCTAGCAAGGTCAAGCTGTCGAAAAGCTTGAATATGGAATAACGGGGCTGATGAATCGAGAAAATGATGGTTCTGCCTCTTTTGGAGAGCCTAGAATGGGAAGCCAAGCCCAAGATGTCAAATGGGGCCACCGTTCCTCTCATTCACGGTGATGTGGGGCCACCCTCCCAACACACCCACAAGCACCACACAAGGCAGCATCTGCTCTCGGAATGAGGGCGCCAGCTGTCCGCCATGAAACGGTGCGGAGGGGAAGGGCCCACACCCACCGCCGTTTTGGTTAGCAAACTAAGCAATGTGAAACTGAGGGAGGTGGGGTGGCCAAGCCGCTGGTGATGCCAAATTATTTAAGGCGGCCAAAGCGGGAGGGATTACGGAGGAGCAGCAAAGCGTCACTCCCAGCTGAGAAAATGCAGTGGCCGGTGGCCTGCAGCACAGGCCAAAGCGAAGCGCCGTGGGGCGAGCGGCCCCGGCTGGACGTTTGCACGGATGGGTTCTAAGCCGGTGCCGACGGAGCGATCTCAGGATCGCTTGATCAAATGCCGACCCAGCCAGCCACGGCTTTGAAAAAGGCAAACCGCCTCTTGGGAAATAGGCAAGCGCAAATGGCCAGTACAGCAGGGTGCTGCGTGCCACTCGCATCAGCGCAGTTCAAAAGGGACATCGCAGGCTGGGAATGTGTGGGAAAGGGCCACCAGATGGCGAGTCAAGTGTGCCCCTGTTGGCGTAAGAATCCAGGGAAGCCCTTCTGGATCTGACCCAAGGTCCAGCACAGGGGCAAGCCAGCCGCCCCCAGGGTCCCTCCACTGGGAGGGCTGCAAGACCTCCGCCCACACGTGGTGCATGCAGGCAGGGCCCCTCCGGCGAAGGAGGGAGCCCATGGCCAGCGAGGGTGGCAGCCACGGACTGCCTCCTCCCGACAACTCTGTCCGGTCCCCTTCCGCAGCCGCCCAGACTGGCAGCTGTCGCCACTTTCCGGGGCAGCAAATGCCATTGCTCCACTGCGCGCAAGGGGCCCGGCCTGCAGGCTCCGTCCTTTTGCCTGCCCTCAGCCCTCCTGCCGCTGCCCACCTACTGACTCTCTGCCTCCTGAGCAAGGGCAAAGGGGGCTGCTTTATCTTGCCATGGGCACCCTTTTCTTTTTAGCTCCATCTGTGAGAAGTACGAGGACAAAGGAGAAGACGAGGAGGCCGCCATTCTGGACCTGAGCGACTCCAACCCATTCGAGTGCCTCCCAGCTTGCCCGGAGCCACCCAGGGCCCTTCAGGGCTGTCCGGCAGGGATGGCTCTTACCTCTTCAGCAGGAGGAGCACGGCGTTGGCCGTGCTGGCATCGAGGCCCGTGGTGGGCTCGTCCAGGAACAGCACGGGGGGCTCAGTGATGAGCTCCATGGCGATGTTCGTCCGCTTCCGCTCGCCCCCGGACACGCCTCGAATGAGCTCCGTCCCCACCTACAAACGGCAGGCTTTGTTAATGGCAGCAGTCCAGTCTGGGGGCATCGGAGCCCGCAGGAGGCGCTCACCTTGGCATTGGCGACTTTGCTCAGCCCCAGCTCAGTGATAATCTGGGCCACACGCTCTTCCTTCTCCTGGAAGCTGATGCCCTTGGGGAGCCTGAGGGCTGCCGAGAAGAGCAGGTTCTCCCTCACGGTCATGGTGCCCATCACCACGTCGTCCTGAAAGCAGCAGGCGGCTCACATGAGAGTGCAGGGCGGCTGCGTACCGGACTGGGGGGACCGCCGGGAACCAGGTGTGCCCCAGAGGGCATCCCGGCAAGGCTTCTCTTCCCGCTTTCTCTCAACAGCTTCCAAAGGCAAGCTGTCGGGGGGAAGATGCCGGTGGGGCAGAAGCTCAAGCAAGGGGGACAAGGGGCCTTTGTTGCTTGTGCCAAGTGGCTTGCTGGCTAATTCTGGCACTTGCCACAGGGACGTTCGCCCGGCGATTGGCACGAAATGACAACACGTGAAGGGAACCACAAACCCTTGAGCAAGCACGGGCCATGCATCTGCCCTCGCACACATCACTGTGTGGGAAGCAAACTGGATGGGCATGTCCTGAGACCCCAGCTTGCAACCCACAGCAGATGGTCACACTGTGCAAGCCCAGGCCGTGCCACAGCACCCCTGCATGAAAACAAGTCCAGGTCGAATCAGGGGACCTTCCAAACATGCACAGCATCATATCGCTGGTTTCCTAAGAACTATTTTATCCTTGCAAATGTCCACAAAGGTTACAAGTTTTATTTCTGAAATGGAGGGGAACAATTTTGCTTCCATTAAAACTCTGAATATTTAAAAAACAAAGTCTTTGAAAAATTTTGCAAATCGTGCATCTTCCCGTTTCATTCCCTGGTGCTCATCCAGAATGAGGCACTGACCTGGACCACATATCCTGAGATGCATTTGAAATTCGGAGGTTGTGGGAAACCGTCGATCAGAACATCCCCGGATAAGCCAGACGGGTCCTTTCGGGCGGCCAGGACATCCAGGAGACTGCAGGAAGACAAGCGGCCTCTGAGGGTCTCTACACATCATCAGGACTAGCCCCACGAAGTCGTGGGAAGCAAACTGGATGGGGGACCTGGAGGGAGCAGCCACAGGCAGGGGGCTCTCCCGGAGCTGCATGGCACAGACTGTGAAAACACTGAACTGTGCGATTGTGCATATGAAAGGAATTCCTGAGCAATTCGAATTCTGTTGTAAGGACACTCCTCAGACTGCAAGAAAACAACACTTTCCAAGGCAGTGCTGATGCTTTCGGGGTGACATAACAGACTGTTCGGATCACAGGAACTGAGCTGCGTGGAGGGTGCCAGACGGCATGGCAGCAGAGCATTCCATGGGTGGAAATCTCCTTGCCGTATCTGCAGGGTGGGGAAAGCCCTGCCTTCTGTATTTCTGCCTGGCATGCAATGGCTCAAAGCACAGGAGCCCTGCTAGAAAAAAAGGTGGCACCCTGGACCACATGCTAATGCATACAAACAGGTACTCCTGCTGCATTTGGTAGGCACAACTTAGCAGCGATTAGGGCTTCCCATCTAACAATCCTACAGGACTGTTTCGAATATGGGCCTTGCCTCTTCATTTCCTTGTTCTTCTTCTGATCTGAATGCCCTAAAGCTGGTATTAGGTTCATGCAGAGATCCATGGAGGGAAAATGCAGGTAAAGCAGTGCCCTCTGCCTCTCCCTGCCCAGGGTTTTCACAGAGGGCTTAGAAATGGAATGAACAGGGAAAGAAAGGGTTAACCACCCCCTCCCAGGGCATCCCCTCCTGTCTTTGCAGCAGCTACTTCCTGAAAGCAAAGGAACCATCCAGCTGCCTGCATGCTCACTTGGTCTTGAGGTCTACTTACGAAGATTTGCCACTGCCCGTGGGCCCCAGGATGGCGTTCATGCCGGGCCTCATGATGCCACTAGAAAGAAGGGAGCAAAGACTTCCGTTTGTGCGCCACCGGGTGCATGGCCTTGGAGGATCAATGGCACCCCTGGCAGATCTTTTACCATGCCGACTTCTTGATGAAGGCAGCCCCACACAGCGTCCATCACTGACCGCAGGCCACCTCTGCCCAGACCGGGGCGCAGCTGGGCCACCGGCCGACGCTGGGGGAAGGCACTCCGAGCCGCTGAAGCTGCCTGGGCCCCAAGGGGCACAGGGGGGCCAAGCAGCACCCCAAGCGATGAGCCTGCTTCGTGGAGGGGAGTGTCAGCGCCCTGCACGTCAGAGACCTGGCTGTACTCTGCTCAGCCCCGCTGAGCCGCTCACACGGGCGCTCTCAGGAGCAGGCTGTCACCCACTTGGACTCCAAAGCCCAGAACATCTCAGATATCAAAGATGTTCAAGGACAGGCTGGACATGCACATGGTGGGCATGTCGTGAGTGGAGCCGGCTGGTGCCGGAGGTCAGACTAGATGGCCCGGGAGACCCCTTCTGACTCGCTCTGTTTCTATGTTTCGATCAATACATCTTTAGCATGTGGAAATGAGCGCTCGCCCTTCTTGCCCTGAATGCCCAGTACATGGAGCAGAGCAGCAACATTAGGCCTTCCCACCGGCCACATCCTGAACAGTGCGCGCACTCACCACACGTCGTGAAGGATTTTCTTCTCCACCACAGTCCGCTTGCAGGGGAGGCCGTGGGGCTGCCGGACCGAATACTGGATGTTGTGGAAGCTCACGACCGAGCCCCGGGGGGAGCGGAGGGAGTCCCTGGTGGGGGCCGAGCGCAGGAACACGCCTCCTCGCTCCGCCTCACTCCCGGCAGGGGCATCCCTGTGGCACGCGGGATGCGTCTCCGCGGCGTCTCTGCTGCAGAGGCCAGAATTGATTGGGCCGATGCTGATGGAATCCGTGGCGTTGCGAAGCGTCCCCATCTGCTGGAATGAACCCCCCAAAACGTTACCGTCTTTTGAGTATCCCTTTGAGCAGAACCTGCCCTCCAAATCCGAGCCCTGCACTCGAGCACATGGAGACACATGAGAAGCGCTGCAGCGTATCAAAGGGAAGGGAGGACGGTGGAGTGGGCCGGGTGGGGAACAAGCTGCCAGCAGTGCCCGGGTGGCAGCACCACTCGCGCGACCTCGCTCACCCGCCTTTCTTGCCGCCGCTAGCCAGGTGGCACCCCCAGAGCAGGTGCCTGGTTGGGGGTGCCTTTCTGGCCAGCAGGGACAACAGTGGCGGGGCGGTAGAGGGGAGATCCCCGAGGCCTGCAGCTTCCAGCTGGGCGCTGCTGCCTGGTGGATTCTCGCTGTGCCCGCTTGACCTTCAGGGCAGGAGAGCGGGACGCCCCTGGCAGTTGCGCCCAGTGGTCAGTGGCGCTCCTTGGCCAGCTGCTTGGCAAGCGTGCAGCGGTGGTACATGGCTGGCCTCCGTCCCACGCTGAGCTGCACTTTCTGGCTGGGACAGCACAATAGCCAGTTGTGCTACTGCAGAGCCACAGAACAGGGCTTGTGGCTGCTTCAAAAGCCAAGCACGCTGTGGAAAAACGCCATGGCTGGGTCTGGGCGCTGTGGCAGACCAGCTTGTGCCAGCATCCGCCAGGGCTCGCCATGTGCCACGGAGCCTTCTCTTGCTTGCTTTTTGCTATTTCGCCTATAGGTGATGTGGGCGCACAGTGGAACTGTGCGAACAGGTAAGAGGCAATCGCACTTGATTTCGCTTGCACAGTTGAATGCGATGAGCCGCCCTGAATGCTCAAAGAAAAGAACCCCAGAAGGGAAACCAGAGGGACACAATCGACCCACAATAAAGTATGAGTGGGAAACGAGGAGAACAGGATGAGCACTCGTGCAGCAAAGCCGCAGGGCTCACCGCTGCGTCAGCCGGCAGTGCCAGCAGTTGCTGAAGCAGCCCGTGTGACTCGTCGTCATTCGGGCACGCTTTGCCCCTTCACCCCTTTTCTGGCTTGTCTGCTAGGCAGGCTCTGGGGGCGGAGCGGCCGAGGGAGACCTTGCTGCGCAGGCTTCCCGTCCCTCAAATCTGCACGGAGCAGCGTCTTTTCCGAGCACTTTCAGTTCCCCAAGTGCTGCACTGGGCATGCAGTCAGGTGACTGGCAGGTTCGCCTTCTAGCGGCACCAATGACCTTTTAAAAAATCACTCACAACGCACATGCATGCCTTCTACGTGCACATATAGTCAACGTTCCTGTTCCGCCTCACTCATGCAGGCTGCGGTAGGAGGGCCAAATGCAGGGACGCGTGTGGAGAGGTGGTTATCCCTGGCGATCCGTCCTCTCAGAGGATGCCAGTCCATGGCATGGTTGAGAGAGGTCATTTGGCTTCCCAACCCACAGTCTTTCAGCCACCCTGAGGGCTTGTTTCGTCCACTGGCAGTGGCCAAAGCGTAGCTTCCAGGATGCGGGAATGTTCAGAGATGCCCATGTGCTGCTGAAAGTCCTTGAGGGAGGGATCAGTTGCATCAGGCATCCAAGAATCTTGGAGCGGGTGGCAGGAAGGCAACGGGCCGCTCATATTGTGCGCTGATATTGCAGCGCAAGAGGCGCAGCTACCCTCTGGCTTGAGTTCCAGTTTTGATTGTGAGGATTTCATTACACATCTCTTTCAGTTCAATCCTTTCTTTCGCACATTATCCTGGGACCTTTGCATTTTCCCATGGGGCGTGTGTGTGAGTGTGCATGCGTGCTTTTCCTTTTTTTCCTTGAGTGCCTTTGCACAGTTAGTTAATGAATGCATTTTTCCCGCCCCTAGTTAGGCAAACTGGTGTCAGCAGAAGACAGATGGGGACACGTCTAGCCTTCTGCACTTTTCAGGCTAGCGCTTCTCCGGGAACCTGGTGGAAGAGGGGATAAGAACGCCCCCTCAGGAGGCCAAGGGCCCTCTTGCGCAAACCCCCGCACGGCCGGCATCCAGAGATCGGCCACACTTGTTCTCGGGAGGGGCTACCGTTCCTGCAATGTTCCCCCCGCTCTGCCCAGAAGCCGCTCCCTGTGAAAACGACCGCAGCAGAATGACCCGAGGCAGGGCACATCAGCCGCCCCTCCTGGGACCCCGGGCGGCATGATGCCAGGCGCCAGCGCCGCATTCCCCCGAGGGAGCAAGGAAGCCGGCCGCCCTCTCGGGATGCCACCTGGCGGTCCGCTGGGAGCAGAAGCGCGGCTCTCCCGAGGCACCCCGGGCCGGGCAGGCGCTCCTTCTCCGCGCCTCTCCAGCACGCCGCACGAGCCGGGGGGAGCGCGGAGCGCGCCGCCGTTCGCGCGGGGCAAAGCCCGGCACTGGCGCAGCCTCGCGGGGTCAGCCCGGCCCGCTCGCGGTGCGGTGCGGCGCGGCGCAGCGCGGTGCCCGGCGGCTCCTTACCTCCCGGCTGCCTTGCGCGCGGGCTCCTGCCTGGCGGCGGCTCCGTCCTGGCGCGCTGCGGCGAGGCCCTCCGCGCTCCGCGTCTGGCGCCTCGGCCAAGCCAAGTTACATAAAGGGCTGCTCGGGGAACTCCCACCCACGGGCTGCCGCGGGTGTCGAATTACCTCTGTCGCGCAGCGCAAGCGGAGGTCACTGGGGAAGGAGTCGCCGGCGAGGGCTCGGGGTGGCTCGCTCGCTCGCTCGCTCCCTCGGAGGCGCGGGAGAGGTCACAAGATCGCTCGCACGGGCGGTGCAGGGCAGAGAGCCAATGTCCCCGGGCACGGAGCCGCCCCCCCCCCCCCCCCCGGAATAACGCCCCTGCTGCCGAGGAGCCGCGCACGAGCCCGCTGCGAGCGCCATAGCTGGCTGCCCCCCGGACCTTCCTGACCCAGGCTTCCCAGCATCCGGGGACACGCGTGCAGCTGAAGCAGCGTTAGCGCTTGGCGTCCAGGGCAAGCTGAGCGGGCTTTAGGATCGGGGCAGGATCCCGAGTGAAGGCCCGCATGCGGGAGCCTGTGCGCAAGGCGCTGCTCGCTGCTGGGACTCCTCGGCTCCACGGAGGCAGAGAAGGCGCTTCTGCAGAGCAGAGGGCATCACCCTGCCGTTTTCACAGCCTGCCTCTCTTCACTTTCAATTAAAGCTGCTTGAGGACCTTCCAGTACAAGCCATCCTGGCATGGACATGGACAACTTTTGCCTCTGTACCACGGGCATTTTTTCTCCAAGAACTTTTTCAATGCAGTACATTCATGACCAAACCTGTGCTTAGATTTTTTTTAAAAATGTATGTTTCATAAGTCGCTGATCTATACATTGTTTCTCTCTGTACTCACCACGATGGGAAAGATGAGCTTCCGGAGCTTATGCTAAGTGCTGGAACAGGGCTCCATGGCTGCGGGGTGGCCTTGCTGCCACTTGCCCTGCGTGAGGGGTGCGCTCTTGGTCCGTGTGGACGAGGCGGTTTCCAGGTGCCTCAGAATAACGGGGCACCCCCTCTGCAGGGCTGCTTTCGGGGAAAGCCTGGCCTTTGCTCTGCAGGAACTCCAGTGTCCATGCTCCACTCACGCTGGCTAGCCCAGGGCCGGTGGCCCCTCTGCCTGAGCTCAAGCTTGCCCAACGCGGCCTGCGGCCCTCTCTGGCCTGGGACCCTGCGCTTATGGGGCCACAACTGGGAGACACACACACTGCGTGGTGCCTCGATTCTAGGCAGAAAAGCAGCAGGTCAACAGCCACAACACTTTCTGGGAACGATGATTGCTGGGGTGACTAATCCCCAGGACTGCTCTGCAGCCCACTCTTCTCCCTGGCAGCCGGAAGCTGCTTTCTCCCTCTCCTTCCAAGAAGGTCAAGACAAAGGCTGCCTAACTGAGCCCTTTATGAAGCGAAAGCTCACCAAAGCAGCATGTGGCAGCCATCACAAAAGACACAAAGAAGGATGGGGTGCCATCATTAGGGAAAGGCATCATGGTGGATGGGTGTGAACGCTGGACAATGAAGAAGCGCACAGGAAGAAAATGGATGCCTTTGAAACACGGTGCGGGAAGAAAGCTTTGCAAACACTCTGGCTCCACAGAGAGACGAAACAGTGAGCCGTAGAGCAAATCAAGCCCGAGTTCTCCCTTGGAGCATGAAGGGCAAGACTGAGGCGGCCACACTTGGGACACATCCCTGGAGGTGACTGTCCTGCTGGGGAAGGTTGGAGGCGGAGGAGAGGGGCAAGACTAGCAGCAGGGTGTGCGACTCCATAAAGGAAGCTGCTGCAGAGTTTGCAAGAGCTGAGCAGGGCTGCCAAGCATGGGACAAGCTGGAGGGATCTCATCCATGGGGCTGCCAGGAGTGGTAGATAACCGGGCAGCGCAAAGCCACAAGAATAACCAAGGGGACTGCAGCTTTGGGGTACAAAGCTGACCCGAAACCGAATAGCTTCCCCTCGCCCCCTGTAAATCAGAGATGGGCCAGTTCTCTGGAAAATCTGACATGTCGTCCTTGGTCCGCCTTCTAACCTAGTGTCTTTGAGTGAATTCATAATGTCAGATCGCTCCCCTCCTCCACTCCAATTTGTTCACTAAGCTGTCCTATCCAGCTGGAAGCTGATTCGTAGCAACTGCTTGGCTTATTCCCAGCTCCTCGGGTGCTGGCACCTAAACTGAGAATCCCTGACCCTCCTTCTCAGAATCTGAGTCGACAGCCTTAGAAGGCGCTGAGGACTGGGCCCAGTCCCTGCAGCAGTGGAGGAGGGGGAGAGGCAAGAAGGCAGGGGTCTGGCTGTGGAAGATGAACTAGACCAGGGCACTGGCAGAATGGGGGGATTACAGAGAATTCATGGCAGAGCAGAGAATGGAGTGGAATGCAGGACTCTCGCCAGCCGTTGTCATCTGCTGCTGCAAACACGTGCAGATGTGTTTGGCGCACGCTCTTCACGATCCCCAAATCATGACCATAATAGAAATCAGACTGAGGCTGAGCAGGGGTGAGGGAGAACAGCGGCTGAGCTGCACTCGCAGGAATGGCAGGGGGCTGTGTGCGAAAGTGTCCTGCTGATGCCGGCAGGGCAGGACTGCACCCCTCACGGACCGGGGCTGCTGAGGCAGGGCATGCGGCGCACGGCCTTCGGCTGCCCAGCCACCTGGGAGGCATGCTGGGGTGGGATGGGGGATTGTCTGTGCTTCGCAGACTGGTGGGTGGGCACCTGTCGTTCCATCAGTCAGGACAAGGTGTGCGGGTCCCTCCAAAAGGTGAAGAACAAACAAACAACGAAACAAACAAGCAGGTCTGCACGTCTGCAGAATCCGCACAACTTGGAAAGGCTGGTCCATTGCTGTACACGCCAGAGTCCACAGCAACCGGAACTTCTTTGCATCTGCTGTCCATTCCTGCAGCGTCCCCAGTGGGACTGCAGCCACGCTCTGTAAAGGTGCCTCCCTGGACAGCATTGTCGCACAGCATTGTTTGGCCCGGGTTGGCATTCCAGATTAATTAATCCAGAGCAAGTGTAACGCCGAGGTCCATGCGCACAGTTGCAAGCGCAGGCTAGGATTCCCTCTTGACTCAACAGCAGATAAAGAGAATGGCCAGTCCGGGTCGGCCCCGAACCCTGACTGCATGCCTTTGCAACAAACTAGGCACGGTGAGTCAGGCTCGCCAAGCTGGAAAGGCCTGGTCTGCAGGCGGATGGGTGACCACACTTGGAAGTGGAGCAGCGGCTTGGACCTGGTGGCCTCCCAGCCCAGCCCAGCCCGTTCTCCCTGCTGCAGCTACAGAGTGTGGTGAAGACTCGGGAGAAATGGAATGCTGAGCCGGGGTGCCTTTTCTCTTCCGCTCGCCCCACATCATCCACAGAAGTTGCGGGGGTTCAGGCAACTGTTTCATGTGTAACTGCCCATGTTCCCCACAGCTGCTTTCCCCCTCCTGATTATACAAACAATCTGTTGAAGAGGAAAAGCTGTAACAGCTACACAATGCCTTTTGAGGGCTAACGCCAGGACCCTCTGTCTGGAAGTGCCCAGGGTTTGAAAATGCAAAGCACAGGACTCTGGGGAAATGAAACAATGGCTTCCTGCAGTGCAGCAGGAGCCTGCGAGGGAAGATAAACTTCACGGCCTGTGCTTGGAATACCAAAGGGCCGCATGCTGGCCACCACACGCCCATCCGTCCGCCTGTGTCCTGCGGAGATCAGTGGCTGCTTTTTTCTTCCCCGCCCCTGAGAAGCGCTTTCAGCTCAGGGAACAAACGCATGCCTCGGCAGCCCCTTCCTTCCTTCCTGAGCAAAGAGCGGTGGGGGCGCCTGCTCCGCTCGACGGGGGCGGGGGGAGGACATGGCCCTGGCGGGGATGGCTGCCCTTCAATCCCTCTGCCGCCGGAGCGTGGGACGCAGCAGGCCCGGCCACCTGGCTGCATGGGCTGCTGAAGGCCGTGGAGGACCACAGCTGGCGGGCTGGGTAACCCCAGTGCCCTCCTCCTGGTTATCCCACACAGAAAGGTTCCTCCGTCCGCTCAGCCCTTCCGTGAGCCGCGCAGGCCCATTGAACACGGAACAGGGGCCCCACACACCTGCCTCCACCCCGCCCCCGTGCGCTCCTGTCCCCTTCGGGGGACCCAGCGACCCAGCTCAGCCTTTCCCATCACTGAGAGGCTTGCTCATGTGGAGCGCCGGTTTGGGGCTCGACCTGCCGGGCACGGAGAAGGCCAAGGCTGAGGAAGGGCCAGCTGAGCCTGCAGACACGGTACAAGCTGGCTAGAGGACTTCTGGCCCCTTTCAGGCAGTGGTTTGGCTGCTGCTGACAGGTGGCAATCCAGCAGGCTAAAACTTGCCCGAGCATGCTGCGGTAGGGAAACCGGAGGGCTGCATGGGCCGCCTGAATAAGGAGGAACTGTGTGTTAAAGTTCTCACAGTTGTGCACAGCTTTCCAAATCACATCAGCGTAGCATTTTTGCGCTGGAAAACAGGGATCTCTCCAAGGTACATTTCCTGGCTAAGCAAAGATTTGAGCCGGGTTTACGCGACAAAAATGCGTGGCACTCTGATGCATGAAGTCAGGTGTCTCCAAACTTTGGGGGGCTGTGGGCACATGTGGAAGTCAGGGAAATTGTTGCGGGCTTCATCCCAGAATGGCTGCACAGTTGTTTCCATGGGCCAGGGAAACAGTAATGTATGAATTGCTGCTCAAAAGTTTCCCAACCCAATAAAAGGTACTCACATAAAGGGCTTCACCAGTCTGGAAGGCACGTACAATATGTCAAGCCACATTCTGGAGTAAAAAGGTGTTTTCAAAATATTTTAGCTTGTTCTTCCTGTTGAAATTTATATCAGATCAGTTTGAAATTTAGCACAACCATAGAGCTCATGAAGGAGATTGTGGATACCAAATGTCGTGGCATTGGCTCAATTGACATAATTTTTATAAGCAGTGGGATTCTGGGGCTTCTAATAGCAGGACCTATTCTTGCAACTCAGCTTAGCTAAAAAGTACTTCCATGCCCCTTTCATTTGTCCAATTTGTCATCAGAAACAAGGGTAGTCCGATCTTCCCCTGTTTTATAAGTGAGGAGTTGCTAGGGGCTTCTGCATTATTGGATAAACCAGTAAGACCTGTACCTGCTAAAGCATCCAGTAAGGAAGGGCTCGCTCACTCCTCCTAGAACTTTTCCACAGATCCTCTGACGGAGACCAGCTTGCTTCCTCTCGATCCATCTTTTCTGCATTGAACTCTCTGTATGACCTGGAACCCAAGAGCCTGCTCGAGTCGGTTCATACATCTGGGTTGCTTAGACCTGCTTTTTTATTTGGGATTCTGCATGCATGGGATTGTTGAATGTCCTGTGGGTTGGTGGGTGGAAGACCAAACGGGAAGGGGCAGGGATGGCCCACAGCAAGCTGGGTCATCTCAGGTCTTGGGTCATCTCTCATCCCCCCCAGCTCTTGGCAGGTAGCTCAGCATGCAGGCCAGCAAGCCCTGTGGGGGCTGCGGACAGCCCCACGGCAAGCCAAAAGCAGAAGTTAGCTATTAAGAACGCTTGCGCTCCAAGGAGCCCTGGCACAGATGCCCAGCCTGCAAAGCCACGGGGGAGGGCTGGGTGGGGAACTGGGGACACCTAGTGGCCTGCTGGGAGGGACATCCAGGGGCTTTCGAGACGCAGACCAGCAGGCTGATGTTGGGGGGAGCCTTCTGTGGAGGCTGCTGAAAAGCAGCACCCCCCCCCCGCCCGCCCGTGGGAGTCTCTGTGATACACAGAATCTGCCCAGACCTCCCTTCCTGTCCGCCAGCCCACGTCCATGCAGCACCCCCAGCCGTGGCATGGCGGCACTGCAGGTATCGGGGCAGATTCTGTGTCCATGTCTGCAGGGACCGCAGTTAAGGCTGCCACGTGCAGCTCCGCCACAGGGAAGTGCCTCTTGGGGGCCTCCATGCAAGGACCTCTGCGGCTGCACCAATAATCGGCAGGTCGGGTCATGGGATTTTTCTTTGTCCACGAAGAACTCTGTATTTCTTAGGACGTTCTGGGAGCTCATGGGTGGAGGGTAGGGAAATCATCCAGGCTGTGCACACATCGTTCCACGAAAAATATTTTACTCCTTTCAATTTATATGATGCCTCATAACTAGAAGTACAACATCATAGCAGGGGTGCGGGAAGGAACGTGGGCAAAGAGAGCAGCAGACCGCACCGCGTGGCAGGAGTCACACAGGAGGGGGGCCTTCGCACGACCCGGGAGAGATGGTCATGGCAAAAGCAGCGTTCCGAGGAGCGGGGAGCGCGCAGGCTTCCAGGCCTCACTTCCGGACTTTGTGTCTTTGAGAGGCGTGCGTCGGCTCATGTGAAGGGCAGCGGGAATGCGCAAGACGTTGCTGGGATCAGAGCGGACAGCGAGTCTACACGGTGCATGACAGTCACCTTCAGCTGACGGCGGCATCCGCAGGCAACCGGGGGGCAAGGCAAGGGGGCTGCAGGTGGCGCTGGGGCTGGGAGGGGTCAGCAGAACCCACAGCACTGACAGACGGGCCAGGAGAGCAAAGCACCGCGGGGGTGGAGGGGCGTGGTGTGTCCAGCACTGGGCCTGCGCATGTCTTTGGGCTCTGGTGGGAGGGAAGGGCAAAAGCAAGACGTGAAGTTCTGGGAGAAAGATCGCCTCCAGAAATGCGCATCTATTGACTGGATTGCCTGGAATCACGGGCAGAAAATATTGCACAGCGCTAATTTCAGTTTATTAACAGCAACTAGAAACAGGACGGCACCAAAGTGAAATAACAGGGCAGCTCCGGAAACTGCTGGGGGAGCCATCCCGTGGCCTGGAGAGCGCACCCAGGGGCCACGGGACAGCCTGGGCCCCCGGACTCCGGGCGGGTGGGAGGTGGAGCCTCGCCCCGCGCCTGCCCGCTGCTCTCCGCGGCCGGGGAGCGGCCGCGGCGCAGGGGAAAGGGGCGGCTTGGCAGGCAGGGAGTGGCGGGGAGTGCCGAGCCTTGCCGGCCCCCAGGTGCCCCAGGTGGGTGGGCAAACGGCCGCCAGGCAACGCGCGGGGCAGGAGGGGAGTCAGCCGGAGGTTGCCCCGCCGGGACTTCTGCTCCGGGGGGCCGCGGGCGCCGCCGCGGGACTGCTCCGGGCCGGGGGGGACGGGGGTCGCGCCGCACAGAGAAGCGAGCGCGCTGCCTGCCCGCCCGCCCGCCCGCCCGCGAGCGCGGGAGACGCTCAGCGGATGATCCGGCAGCCCTCGCCGGAGTCAGCGCAGCTCCCCGGCCCGCCGACCGAGCGTGGCTGCGTCGCTCGGGACGCGCACAACCGCCTGCGCTGCGCTCTGGGCGCGCCTTGTGCCAGGGCGCCCGCGCGGTCCCACCTCAGGCGGGAGGCGCACGGATCGAGGCCGGGCCTGGGGGCCTTCTGCCTTGGGGTGGGGGCAGCTCTGGCTCGGTCCAGGCTGGACGGGGCGAGCAGCCGGAGCCACGGGGAACCCGGTGGTGCTCGGCAGCCGCTAGAAGCCCAGGTGCGGCTGCGGCGGGACGTCCCCGAGCACCCGGAGGCCCCGGTGCTCTGCCTTGGGCAGGGCGGCACTGCCGGGCGCCACGGCGTTTGCGCTGAGGTTGCTCCTCGGCCCGCGGGCGCCCTCCGTCCCGCCGTCTCCCGCAGCGCCCCGCTCGGCGCTTGGAGGGACCGTTCCGCTACGGCCAGGCTGTTCTTCCTGCGGGGAGGAAAAGACCCAGCTCAGTCGGAGGCTCGGCTCCCGCTTCCCTTCCCTCCCCGCCTTCCCTTCCTTGTGCTGTTCGCTTCGCAGCCCAGCCCAGCTTCATGCCTCTTGGCACCAACTTTGGACTAGGCTAGCAATTCCCTGTCTTGTGGCAGAAAGGGCAGTGCTTGCAGAAAAGGCCCTGGGAACGGGAACGGGACCCGTGGACCACAGATCCAAAAACGCTGAACCCCCGGGAACTGTGCAGGCGACGGCCAGTGTAGTACCAGTGCACAGACACCCAGCAGAAAAGCACCCAGCCTGAAACCCCGGAGCGTTGCTGCCAGCACACGCCAACAGTCCTGGGTTTGAAGGGCCAACAGCCTGACCCAGGGTCAGGCGCCCTGCTACGTTTCTGCTGTGTGAACAAAGCCGCTGTGGTGCAGAGCGGAAGCACTGCCTTTCCCTGCTGGCTGGGTGGCCAGTGCGTGTCTTCTACCCTGCTGCAGTCCAAGTGGAGGGTCTCCTAGTTTGGTTACAGGAGTTGGAAGAGACGCCGGAGGTCACCTGAACTCACTGCGCCCAGCATGGGCTGCAGTGCAAGATGCAACCACAGCACCCCGACGGATGGTCAACTGGTATTCGCTCAGTACCTCCAACGCAGGATCGTTGTTCTTTGGTTTGCTTCTCTCCAGCCCTTCCAGCTGAACCACCAAGGCGTCCGTCTTGGACATGATGCCGCTGATGGAATGCTCCAGCTGCAGCACTCGGCGCAGGAGTCTGTGGAGAAAGCGAGAATCACTGGACACCCTTCTCCCCAGCTGATGCGCCTTGGCCTGAGGGCCGTGAGTTCCTTCAACAGCCCTCGTGCTGGCGCATGGCGCATGGCTCTCACGCGGGTCTGGCAGAGACGGACAGCTGGGCTGGGGCTGGAGGCTTGCGTTAGCGATGCTCTGGGGTTCTCCCTGTAGCAGCTGGAAATTACTGGAATTGGAACCTAACATTTAGCTTGTTTGTAGAGTTCAGAGTGAGAACACTGAGCTGTGGAGCTCCGTCTTTGGATGCCCTTGCCGCATCTATCGCAGCCACACCCTAAGCCACAACCAAGTTTCACACCAAGATATGGATCAATGTCCTGGTAGTTCCATTCAAAGTCTGATGCCATTATTGAATCCTGGATTAACTATTCAGACTTAAGCTTTCACTGTATATTTGAGGTACACACATTTCTCCTGCATCCGTCAAATATTTGCCAGGCATGGATGTTAAGCCTAGCACAGTTACTTGGTTCTGTCCAGTGAGTTCAACCCACCTGAGGATGCCCATTGCTCTCTGGCACTTTTGCAGCTGAGTGCCAGGCATGCATCCCATGCTTTTACCGCCCCTGAACCAAAGCTGTCTGGGTGACTCACAAAAATCTAACTCAAATCGTGCTATTCCTATTCAGACCTGAGCCAGTTCTATTCTAACTTGACTCCTCATATCAAAGGCTCTGCGCTAAGTCGGACCGACACGGAATACAACTGTTGCCTGTTATGAGGTTTGTTGTTGCCCTGGATGCATCTTACACATTTTACATCCAGTTTTCAAAAAATCTTCTGCCTGCTTTAGCCATTAGCTCTGCGCAGGGTGTACTGACTCCAGAGCCGTGCAGTGGAGCCCAGCGGAAGAGCAGCCCCCCGCCCCCCCGCCCCCCGCCCGTGGCGTCTCCGCGAAGCACGGAGCATAGCGAGCTGGGTGCCTGGCACACTGCCTGCCTGGTGTGAGGGCGGACCTCCTGGCGGCAGTATCGCGGCTGAGCATCCGGCACACGGCCTCCTCTGGAGTCCACTGAGAGCGAGCGATTCAGGTGAACCGCATCCGTTTGAGGGAATCTGTTTTCAGGTCCCGGTTGCTTGGTACTGGATGCCACAGAGACTTAAACAGAAAGATTCCGATATTCCTTCCAGGCATCGGTGATGTGGCCACTCATAGGCCCATATGTTGGTGGGTACTGAAGTCTGGGTATCATATACAGAATAAAATACAGTGGTACCTCGGCTCACAAATTTAATCCATTCCATGACTCTGGTCGCGACCCAAACTGGTCATGAGTCAAGTCAAATTTCCCCTTAAGGGTCAGTGTCAATAAGGTTAATCCATCCTGCAACTATTTTTTTTACTCACAAATATTTGAAGCAAAGTGACAAAGGACAACAAAGATGGCGGCCATCTCCCCCCGCCCCCGATGGCTGCAATCATGCTCAGGGGTGGGGGGAGATGGGTGCGATCGCAGGCACACTGCGGGGAGGGAGATGGGCGCACTCGCGATCATCACCCATGTGGAGTTCACGACCTGCGGCAACGTTTCTATGAAATTTCTGTTGGCGACCCGATTTGGTCGTGAACTGAGGTGTTTGTGAGCCGAGGCACCGCTGCACAGCAGCTACAGCACTGAGGACTGCGGTGGGCTCCGTGACGCAGTTCGGGAGAGGAGGGCTCAAAGCAAAATGCAGGCGCGATCCTGGGCTGAGGACTGCACTGATAACGTGCTCCTGAAAGGAACCCGGGGAGCTACAAATTATGCATTGGAAGGCCAGGTGTTGGGTAGTAATTGCATATTTAAAAATATGATCTGTGCTAAGATTCATAGAGGGCAGGATTAGGTATACAGGAAAAGTGGGATTTACCGATGTCCTTTCAGTATTGCAGCAGAAAAATAATGCTTGTTTGATTTAATGCTGATCTACAGTGAAGTAAAAAAGATTAATTTCATAAGAGTAAGGAGAATTCAACTCAAGAAAGCTGGCACTGTGACACAATGAAGATAATTAACATTATTTATTTTGTGTAGATGGGCACGTACCCAGAAGATGCCTTCATGCAATTTTGAAAGATCCCACCCCGCTGCGCCAGAGCTCCCTCCCCCACCTATCCATGCTGCACTCGCAGGGGGCCGCAGAGGCTGTGTGGGGCGGCCAGGGTGGGAGGGCTGCTCCCATCCGCCCAGGAACGTGTGACTAAAATGTGGCTCTGACCTGCACACAAAGGCTGCACAGTCTTCCAGGGGTACATTGTGCACGGACTCTGCATTTGGCTATTGAAGTTATAGAACAAAATAATGTTACACACATTTGGAATTCTTCCTCCGAGACTGAGCTTCTCTTGTCTGCTTGATTGTTCTTCTCCTCTGCGAAGGCAAGAGTGTCTTCCAAACCGTTTCCCCTAAAGGATTTCCCCAAATTCTTAATTTCAGCATTCAGAGCAACCTGGGAAAGGAAATATAAGCAGCCATTGGCTCCATCAAGAGTTTACCACCACAGTGGTGTCAGGGGGTGTTTTTAGGACCCCGTCTCACCATCAGCTAGGCACACTTATTTCTGTCTCTGGGAGAACCGCGGAGAGGAGCGCCTCCCCATGAGCAGGCCTGCCGTGGCCGTGCCGGCACTCCAGGGATCGTTCCTTCGCATCATCGGCTGCACCTGGAAGTTCCTGGGACTAGTGAATCCTGCTCAGCTTGCAGACCTCCTAGCCTTGCAATTTCCTGTGCCACAGCAGGGCTGTAGTTTGCCCGGGTTTTCCAGTGCTGCCTGGCCACCCCCTGCCTCTCGGTTCCTTCATTCCCCCAGCCCAACTAAGGCGTATTAAACAGACCCCATCCCCTTTGGCCGTACCCTCTTCTCCTCCAAGTCATTTTGCATTCTCTTCTGCTCCTCTTCATCAAGGATCTGGTTCCCGTCTTCATCAAACCTGGCAAAGGCCGCCGTGATCTCATGCTCCGCGTGGCCAAGCCTAAGGAGGGAGGGAGGGAAGGAGAACAGGAGGAGAGCCTATTCGCAAGGGGCCTTTCCATTCCAAAGTCTTGGTAAAATGGTCTCCACATCTTTTTCATAAGATGTGTCAAGCATGCACTGTCATTTTACACTGTCTTTTAACTTCTTTGTACTACTTCAAAAATACGTGATGGCCGCTCCCAGTCAGAAGGATGATGGGCAGCTGAGAAAGTGCATGGGAAGCTTTGAAGCACTTACTCCCTCAAGCTGTTCTTAAAATCCTCGAATTCCAGCTCCTTGGTTCCCTTCTGCAGCGCTTTCTGCACGTCGGAGATCCGGTCCTTTTTCAGCTTCAGCTTCATCAGGGTTTTGTTGTAGCCCTGGGTGCAAGAAAGGCACAAAGAAAGCTCAGCCCGGCAGTCCCAGCTGCTATGGACAGAGAGGAGGATGGCAAAGGACTGTGAAGACACGCTGTCCCTCATAGGCTGAGGATCCACAGACAAAGACGCCGCTCTCCCTCTCCCCTGTAAGCGCGAGGACACGCACACACTGGCCCAGCACGCCAGCACAGCCAATGGGAACCACAGTCTAGGAAACATATCCTGAAGTGAAGGAAAGAACCTGTTTTAGGATGTCTGAGAGCTGCAACTCATTCTTCTGGTTGGAAAGCTCCTCTTTGACTTCGGAATAGGTGTCGTTGATAATAGCCAGGAACATGTTCTGCAGAAAGGAGAGCAGAGGTCAGACGGATGGACGGACGGACAGGTCCAGGCTCATCAAAGCACTCTGGCTGTTCCCTTGAGCGACAGCAGCCCTGCCCTTCTCTTCCATCGTGTCCCTCTGCCAGGAAGCAGACTGGGCTCAGTTATTCTTGGCTTCACACAAGGCAGGTAATTAAACATCAAGACAAGCTGCAAGGTAAGGCAGCGGCAGGCACACCAAGTTAGGTTTTTTCCCAAAAGCAGCTTAATTTCCCCCTGTTTAAAGCCATCTCTGAAGGAGGAGTTTATAACCTCCTGGAGCAAGCTGGGCATCCCTCCCCTGCTGAATGCACTACTCTGCCAAGGAGCACACTCGCTCGCCCACCGGCTGCCGGAGGTCCTGCCACGCCTCGCCACGGCCCGGACGGCACCAGGCCAGGGGCTGCTTGACCAGGCTGTGCTGGGTGGCATGAGAAGGGGCAGTGCCACAGAAGGCAGGCCCTGCTGGCCGGCCAGAGCCATCCCAGCGAGCTCTCACCTGCGCTCGGCCGGTCTGACCCTACCTTTCCCTACCTGTTTATTTCCTTGCTATTTCTGCATCTCAGGTAAATTTCACTGGGCGACCCTCAGTTGCAAACAAACGAGCAGCAACTTACCAGCAGCACAAAGAAGACAAAGAAAACGTAGGTGACAAAGTAGATGGGCCCCAGCACCCTGTTGGCGTTGTCGATCGCGTTGTAGTCGAAGTCACCGAGGATGATTCGGAACTGGGTGAAGCTGGGCGGGGGGAGGGAGTGGGTCAGCAACGTCAGGTCAGGGGGCTGGTGGCGCGGAGTGGAGCTTGGAAAAAGGCGAGTGAGAACAAACGAACGCACACACACATGGCAGGCGCCACAGCTTTTCCTCTGACCAGATTTCCTCTGGCCAGGAGCTTAGCAGGGAAGCGGAAAGAGGAGAGGGAGGGAGGGGGGAGGGGGGAAAGGCACTCACATGCATTTGACAAAGGTGCTGAAGTTTTCCACCTGGGTTCCAAAAAGAAGGTATCCCAGCTGTGCGTAGGCAAAGAAGACGATGAAGAACATGATGGCAAAGCCCAGGATGTCCTTGGCGCAGCGCGCCAGTGTGGACGACAGCTGCGTCATCGTCTTGTTGAAGCTGATGTACTTGAATATCTGGGAGGGGTGGGAGAGCAGAGGGGTGTCTGTTCAGAGCCACCACAGAACAGCACCTGTCCTTAGCCAGGTTGGCCCAGTTGCCAAAGCGGGATGCTGAGAACAAGCATTTGGCAGTCTCGGTCTACCCTGGTGAACAGAAATGAGCTCTTAGCGATCAGACACACGCCCCACTGAGCGTTCTGCAAGCTGAGGAGCCGAGGGACCAGTGCACACGTCTGTCCAGTCGTTCCCAGGTGAGAACCACCAGAAAGTGCCATTTTGGACATCTTCTCTCTCTGATTCTTCTAGGATCCAGCTGTGGGTCATACCATTATTTGCTAGCAAAGACGCCAGGCGTCACACAACCTGCAAAGCAGCGCGGCTGTTGGAGCTGGATTTGTGCCTGAGTGAAGCCAGGCACTGCCCGGCCAAGGTACCCTTGAGGAAGGGGCTGCATCCTTTGAGGGGGAGGCCGACCCACAGCAGGGGAGGGGCAGCCGCGTAGCCCCCTAATGTTTCCAACTGCACAGGCTGCAAAGCTGCCTGTTTACTAGGGGAGTCTGCCATGGAGTAGCTGCTGGTGCTACCGCAGGCTTCAAAGATGCGGATACACTTAAATGACTCTTTAGAAATGGAAGTGTTGGAGAAAGCCAAATAACGCGGATGCGCTCACCCAGCCTCGGTGCTGACAGATGCGGCCACATCTTCCCTCCAATGCATGGTGATAGACGAGCATTTCCATTGTAATCCTTGAAAGGATTGTTGTAATCCTTGAAAGGACTCTGCGGGAGCTGCTGCATCGGCTATTATCCCCATTTTGCAGAGGGGCAGGGAAGTGGGGGCTTCCCCAGGCCGTGCAGGGGGCTCGTGGCAGGAGGGATGTGCTTCCCACGGATGCTCCCACCTGTCTGCTGGCCACGGTGGCCGTTCCTCCCAGATCTTGCCAAGTCCCTCTCCTTGTCCTTGAAGCTGTCGCTCTGCTGCCCGCCCCAGCTTTCATCCATCCTTCCTCAGCCTTCTCCCCATAGATCTCCTCGAATCCCCCTGCCGTTCTTCCCTCCATCCAGAGCCCTTCCCACTTCACCCCTCCGTGCACTTAATAGGAATGCAGTTCTTGGCTCTGAATTCACGACTGAACCCATACGCAGGGAAGACCACAAGCAACCTAGGACAGTACCTTGATCCAGGCAAAGAATAAGTTCACGGCATTCATGTTGTTGTACTGCGTCTGCCAAAACGCCAAAAACTCAAAGTCTGCGTAGATGCTGGGGTTTCTGAGCAGCTGCCCCATCAACCGGTTGACTTCGATTGTGCGGAAGATGTGGAATCCAATGGCTACAATAGACAGCTGAGAACAAATCTGGGATTCAGTGGATGCCGTGCAGAGTCTGGGCACCACCTTTCCGAAGTCCCCGTCCCACGACCTCAGTCTCGCCATGCCAGGAAACTTTTGTTTGCATGCTTGCTCATTGTTCAAGGGTTTGGGTGGAACCATGTTTAGACTTAACTTGGGGGAAGCTTTTATGAGGCAATAAAGTGGCATCTGTAATTGATAACTGATGGAATGAGATACACTTTATGCCTGCAAAGGTGAGACTATAGGACTATTCAGGTGAAGAGAGATGTTCGTTGTGCTGCTTTGGGGACAGAGGAGACGGTGCGAGTAAAGGCGTAGAACCAGGCCCTGGCGTTTTCCCTGCAAGGAAGGGCAGCCTCAGAAGTCTACTGCTCTGAGCGGAGGAATCATGTGTGAATGAATGCTCTATTTTTTTTTCTTTCTGTGCAAAATCATGCCTATTTGGCTTCCTCACCCTCCAGATTTCAGACGCTCCGGTAAACATGGATCTAGAATGCCATTGTGGGAAAAGCATCCGGCGGCTCGTGCTTCAACAACCCACGGTTGAAGGCAACCCGCACTCAACCCATGGCTGTAGGTCATGGTTGTCCAAACCCAGCCAATGAGGGGAATGCAGTAACGAAGAGGGAAAGAAAATGCAATTGTATCGTTTTCACATCTGTAGGCTTGGTTAATCATCATCGTTTTAGAATCTCTACCTCATTTGGGGCTTAAAATACATATGAGCAATTCATAAATAAAGATCTGTTTAACAAACCACCCCTGGCAATTAGCTCACCGGCAGATGCTTTGAGGACTAATTTGTCCTTTGACCTAATTTGTCACTGCATCGGTTCTCCTGCCTTCCCGGTAACTGTGAGAAACCTTACCAGGATGACCACTATATCCAAGATGTTCCAGATGCTGGTGAAGTACTGCAGCCTGTGGATGCGCAGCTCCAAGATCTCCTCCACAATGTAGTAGAAGATGAAGACGCAGAAGACGACCTCACACGAGACAATGAAGAAATCCCAGGTGCTGACGTACCGGAGGAGCTTCACCGTCCGGATCTGCCACGAGGGGATGGCGCCACCGGTGGCCGGGAATTCAACCACCAACCTGGACAGCAGAGAACGCCTCTGGATTCAGCCCGGTGCGGCATATTCTCTCGATATTTACGAAGTACAGTGATATGAGCTCACTGTATGAAAAATAAGATCGGCTGGGGCTCCACCACCACCAACGAAGCAAACTTGAAATGACCCAGAAATAACCCTCGAATCGTGAAGCAGAAGGGTGGGAGGCTTAGGAAGGCCCGAAGGAGGTGTTTCTTCTACCACAGGCCACCCGCCCGGACGGACTGAAAAGGCGCCTGAACACTGGAGCAGAGGCTGAGGCTTTGGGTGCGCCATTTTGGAGGGCGCCCTGCCCTTCCAGGGCCCGACGGCACAGGGCTCCACATGCCAGACTCCTGGGTGGGCGGCTCCTCCCACTTGGCAGCTTCGCACACGCAGCGGGCTCAGCAGCGGGGGCAGCGAGGCCAGCCTGTGGGCAAGTCGGGCAGGGCTCCGCCTTTGTCCTTACGGGGCTGCACTCCCCGTGGGCTTGCCAACGAGCAGGTGTCCAGGCCTTTTAGGATTCGGGGTGTCATGGAATCCCCGGATCCAGAGCAGCGGGCCCTGGCTTTCATGAATATGCTCACGCCACGGCTACGGAGGAAGGATCCTTTCAAGTGCGCAAAATGGCAGCGGACCTTTTCACCGAAGGGGGCAGAAGGGGAAGAAGAGCGAGAGCTGCCAAGGGAGGCGTCACCTACCGGAGCACACAGAAGAGGTTGATGTTGGCATTGTACACGGAGAAGTCGATGAAGACAACCCGAGTTCCACGATCCAACCACAGGTTGTCCTTCAAGACCTGGAGCTCTCCGGCACTTTCCTGCCGGGTCATCTTGAGGTCCAGGTAGTATCCTCCTCCGCTGTAGCTTGTCAGCTTCCCCCAGTGAGAGGAGCCATCCAGTTCTTCCTCAGTGTGGTATTGCCACCTGCCCAAGGGAAGCATTGGAGAGGAAGAGAGTGCCCGTGAGTGGTGGGCAGGTGGCACTCGTGCCAGGCCCAGGAGGCGCCTGGCCTTCTAGCTCTACTGTCCCACGTAGCATGCAGCAGAGGCCGACGCCACTGAAGCCACGTGCAGTGAGGAATGGCCTTGAAAACACCTCACTTCCCCAAGCCCTTGCCCGTCCGAGTGCGTCTTTCAAGGCCCGTCTAAACCTGGCGCCAGGAAGATGCCAAGAGGGCATTTCGGCAAGCCGCCTTGAACTTACAGAGAAAAGGAGGCAGAGTGCTCCTTGCATTGTGGAGAAATGCTTTAAATGAAGTGAACGTATGTGGGCCTGTTGAGCAATGATGAAGATGTTCTCTGAGAATGTGCAGAGGCACCTTCTCTCATGTCGAGGGATAAGTGTGTGTGTGTGGAGGGGGCTTCGTTAGTGTGTGAGCCTCCTCTTCCCTTCTGCATGCTTCTTTTTCTAGGCATGGAGCAGTAGGGCTCCTGACCTTCCCAATAATTTGGTAACTCTGTTGTTCTTGTTCTTTTTGAAGACCCATATTTACGGCTAGGCATGTGCAATTTTCACGTTGGAAAGAAAACAAAGTCCTAATTTCGATATAATGCGGCGCTGCCCCCTAGAGGATCTGGTAAGTTAGCAACCTGCATTGAAAACATGTTGCTTTCAAAATGTAAGCAAAATGATAGATGTTCGTTTTGGGCCAACTGGCTCAAACCAGCTGGGAGCATCGAGATGCAAGGGCTTTTCAGCTGCCCGGCGGGGAAAGGAAGCTCAGCAGAGATCCCAACTGAGTGGCCGGAGCAACTTCCCATCCTCCTGCCCCGGAGCACGAAAACCCCCGTGCCATCTGGGCACTGCCTCGGAGCTGTGGGTTGGTGCTCCAAGGCCTCTGGGCCCGGGCGCTTCCGGTGGGAGGTCAGAAGACCACCGTGGCCACGAGGAGACAGTGGCGGGTGGCTGTCTGTCCGCGTGGCTGCACCTTCTGTGTGCAGACATTCTTGTTCTTCCTTTCTTCTCCCCGGGGCCTGAGTTTACCGCCGATGGCCATCTCCCCCTGCCCCGTGTCTAGTACCATTGACGTTAAAAGCTTCCTGTGCACCCCTTGTTAATACATTTTGCTTTGGGATCCTTGTGGCTGCAATTATGGCTGGCCAGCTGAGGCCAGGGAAGGTCGCTTGACTATCTGCTCAGTAGTCGTTAGCCATTGAGAGGGGGAGTTCAAATGAGGGAGGGCCTGGGACTGGGTGGCTCCAGGCAGCACCTCAGCCAGCTGGACAGGGCTGCGGGCCACCAGATGGACCAGGACAAGACCAACTGCCTGGCATGGGAATATTCAGGATGCATATGCAGCTATACATGCAGGATGCAAGCACAGTAAGAGCCTTTCCCCACTGCTTATGTGCAAAACTTATTAACTTTGCCTAGTTTAATGGGAGTAGTGCAACTCCGATAAGCACCGGAAAACCAATAGCAGGTGAGAATATCTTGCCAGGAGAAGAACCTCAGCACAGGTCACTGCCACTGGCCAAACAGTACCTTAACACCCTCTTTCTTCGAGATATTCCTCCCTGCATACTTTGCTCAGCATTTGATGCCTTGTTCCATATTTCTGGACATTACTATTGCCGCCTTGCATTTATACTCTGCCTTTTTTCCTCTTGTGAGAAACGTATGAGGCGCAAAGGCCCAGCTACTAGGAGCAGGGCCCTTCTGGGCTGGATCCCACCTTGGGAAAGCTTGTCCGGGGAGATTTGCCAAGCCTTGACGTGAGACTTGTTTAGGCATCTGGCTACAGGACTGCAGTTCGAGACGCTCTGCAGCTTTTGGCTCTCCTGGCTCGTTCCTTTAACACCGTTCCATTTGCGGTTGTCCTTGCAGGTGCCATTTGTGCCACTGGAAATGTTCCCGTCTTCCTGAAAACGCGTGCCTACGGCTCCCTGCGCACCTCCGGGGAGGCAAGGCACAGCAGAAGGGTCCAGACCACGTGGGGAAGCAAGGCGGCGTCTGTCAAGCGGAGGCGGGGCGCCAGCGCACTTACGCGGTGCCGTTGAGGAGCCCGAAGGGGGACCGGTTTTCCTTGTCCTCGCTGTACACGTCGTAGCAGCCCGAGATGTCTTCCTTGAAGTCGTTGTGCACCACGCACGAGTTGTTCTGGACCTTCAGCTGGCGCAGCCGCGGCACCCCCAGCAGCAGGTTCTCGTAGTAGATGTACGACTGTGGATCGTGGCCCAGGGGCTTGCTGTTGTACCACTTGGTCCAGTACAGGCTGTTCAGCAAGGGGCCCTGCGAATACTGCGGAGACAGGCGGGGGGGGAGAGACGCGCGTGCGGCTCAGGACGGCCGTGCCGGGACCGCAGAGCAGCCTCTCTGGCGGGACGCACGACCGCAGGGGGAAGGCCCCCGTCTGCGGCCCGGCTTGCAAGGAGGGGAGGCAGGAGTGAGGGGGGGAAAGGGGGCAGCTGTGGGGGGGCTCGCTGGGCGGTGGGGATGGCTCAGCCCCCAGCCGGCAGGTGTGAGGGGGCCCGCCATGCATGGTGGGCGCAGCCAAACCCCAGCGGGCACAACCAGCTCAGGCAGACACACTCAGGCCTGCCCCAGCTGGGAAAGACGCGCTCCATGGCTCAGCTGCTGGCCCTGGGCGAGCTGCCATGTGGACGGACGCCGTGGCCGTGCCTGGCGCTGCGTGAGGAACCCAGCCTGGGGAAGGAAGCCGCTGGGGTTCCTCGGCGCAGCTGCTCTGGCTTTGGCCCTTCGACCCGCACACGGGGTGTTCATGCGGGCGTCCGGCAGGAAGCGAGTCCCTCAGACAGGCTGTCCACGTGCCGCCCGTGAGCCCAGGCAGCCGGGGCATGCCGCTTCCACACACGTGGCTTGCAGCCTTCCTTTGCACAGAGAATCACGTGGTGCAGAGAAGCCGCCAGCGTTCCTGGGCGCTTGTGCAGTCGCTCGCGGCTTGGCTCGCTTCCTGGCCGGGCCAAGTGCGGGAAGGGCCCTGGCCAGCGCACGGGAAAGACGGTCCTCATATCCCACCACGTGGCGGCCGCTGGTCAGTGCAACGATTTCCGATTCACTTACATAACAGGACACAGGGAACATAATGCGTCCCACGTTCCTGGTACTCACTTCCCAAAACTCAGCCATGCTTCCAATATCCTGGAAAGAGATCCCACTGTCAGAAGAGGTTTGCAGGAAAAGTTCGGACATCACTTTGGTGTAGTAGTAGGCATTTGTACTGGTCATCCCATAAGTCACTGAGGGAGGGAAAAAACAGCAAGATCGACTCACTCTGGGGAATGGCCTGAAATTCAAACCACTGGTTTAGTTAGGTAAGGCAACGCCTTTCACGGGAAAATCTTCGTTAGGCAAAATGTATCAGCTGCCAAGAGGTGCAGCGCTTTAACATTTACAGGAGAGGCAAAATCTTTGAATAGAAATGCACAGGTACCGCCTTGCCTGCATTCTCTGAACCCAACAAAAGGGGCCGTCTGTGCTCAGTACTTCCAGAATGAATTAAGAAAGAATGAGAGAGCCAGAAAAGCCCTTCAGCTTGCACCCCACCTTTGCCAGGGAAGCCCCAGATCCGCTGGGGTGAAAACTCAGCCCCCGCAGGAACGCAGCACCTCTGCCTTTCCTTTGTCATCCGCTGTCATTTTGCCATCCTCGCTGAATAGCTGGCTGCCATTCATTCATTCATTTATAGTTTTTATATGCCATCCAACACCAGAGTCTCTGGACGGCTTACAAAAAAGCACAAAAAACAACAGCATACCAACAAACGCACTGCATCCAACCATCAATAATAAAATAAAAGAGAAAACCAATTAAATGCTAAAACGTTGGGAAAATAAAAAGGTTTTTGCCTGATGCCAAAAAGAATAAAGCAATGGCGCCAGGTGAGCCTCCCCGGGGAGCGTGTTCTGAAGTTGGGGTGCCACCACTGAAAAGGCCCTTCTCCGGGTAGCCACCCGCCTGATCCCCTTCAGAGAGGGCCCCCGGAGAAGGGCCCCTGCCTCTGATCTCAAGGGATGGGACGGCACATGGGGAAGGCGGTGCCCCTCAGCATCCAGGCCCCAAGCTGCTCCTGGGGCAGCAGTAATCACTTGCGTGCCAGGCCGCGCACTTGCTTGCGCGTGCCTCGCTGGCTGACTTCTGAGGAGACCTGATAAGGAGACTCTGACACAAACAAATGTTCCACGCTTCTGTGTCACACGGGACAAAACATTCGAACCGGATGAGAAGCCCGAGTGAGCTCCGTGCTCTGCTTGATGCGATAACGATGGCGGGCGAACCTGCTGCCTTGCGGTGCGTGAAATATGACCTGCTGCCCTATGAGGCATCGCAGGTGCTCCCGGCAGATAACAATGAATCTGGCTAGAGCAAACAGCCATTGTTGTGCCCACACATATCTGGCTTCGCGCTGAATGAAATCTCTCCGGGAGCACAAAGCAGCCGCTCTCTATGTTATCGTCCTGCCCACCCTTCCTGGCCGGCCCCTGGGATTAAACGGGAGAGGGAAGTGCTGGGGTGCATCTCCAGCTCCGGGAGGCTGCGGGAGACGCTGACACCGCTGGGACATGTTCCCACTCCCGTGTCAGGAGCAGCACCAGGCCTCCGGGCCCACCAGGGAAAGGGATGGGAATGTCGCCGTGACTTTGGTCATCCTTCCTGGAATCCACGGACAACTTCTCTGGACTTCCTTCAGTCTCAGTTTAGCCCAGCTGTTTAGGGAGGCCGATGCCATGTGCTGCTTGCTTTCTCTAACTCAGCACTCCTAGTAAACCTCTCCTCCTTGCGCCTCGGGAGCTTCCTGGATATTTTGCCCAGCCCAGCGGATCCCGCATGCATGTGCCAGGCGGCTTGTGCCTGGAAGGGTGGATGAACGGGAACCGTGGAGTTGGGCCCGGCCTGGGGGCCACCGGGAATGCTCCCGAACATTTGCACGGCTCTTATTTATTGCGCTGCATTTACACCCCGGCTGCCTTCCTCTTGCAAGGAATCCGGGGCAGCACACATGGCTTTCTCCCTCTCCATTTCTCTTCACAGGGACAACCCTGGTGAGGTGGGCTGGGCTGAGGAGCAGTGGCTGGGTTCACACACAAGAAGCCACGGTGAAATTCAAGCTGCTCAGACGTCACCGATGCTTCCCCAATCCTCTAGACCCAGGATCCTGTTCTGGCATTGCTGGCGTGGAACACCATAGAGTTCCCTGGCAAGAGTGGCTGTGGAAGCCCCACCCTCAGGAACAGACCCTCAGAACGGTCAGGATGCTGGGCAGGACAGCCGGCCAGGGAGAGGGACCCCACGTGGACCCACAGCCTCGCCATCCACGTGACGGAGATCCTGATGGCCAAGGCTGGGGCAAGCTGTGAATACGGCTCACGCGCAAGGACAGGGCTGTCCTTCTGGCATCGGTCCTGCTCTGCAGCCACACTCGCCGTTTCTCGGAACAGCCGTCCCCAGCGGCTGGGACTGCCCACACGACTGGTCTTAAGAAGAAGAGGAATGGCAGGCTGAGGAAAGGGGTGCCGGAGCACAGGCAGCTCCGGAGGAACCACGCTACTCACGCAGGCAGATGTCCACCAGGAATATGATGTAGACCAGCAGTTCACGCAGTGTGGTCTTCACGTAAAGCTCTCGATCCTCCGCAGTGTTCTCCGTCAGAGTTGTGCCCCAAAGTCCTGGGGGGGGGGGGGGGAGAGAGAGATGCATGTCCATGAAGATGCGCTTCCAGGTGGCCCATCTTCATGGACATGCATCTGCCCAGCTGAACCCAGCAGCTTAGAAAAGCGGGCCTTCTTTTCCTCCTGCCCTCACATTACCTGTGCCTGAGAACCCAAGGCTGCCATTTCAAAACTGCCTAACTCAGAATGAATTGCCCTGAACTCAGCTCAAGCCTAGGAATGCATAGTGCATGTTGTCTTTTCAAGGAACTTGTGGCTAATCGGTTAACTGATTGTTTCCATTTATTAAATTGCTAAAATAGTTATTACATTATTAAATTTGATGCTTTAATGACATTGCTATTTCTTTAATGAAATTTATATCCTGCCTTTTTAGCAAAAATGGCACTCGGGGTGAATCACAGTGTAAAATACAAATTAGGACAAGGTCTTGTTTAAGACATAAAATAACAATGAATTGTGTTACAAGTACAATTTCAAAAAATGAGGAACTCCTTCTGACATCATCAGAAGGACTAGAGTTCCTTCACCTGCCGCCAGCTTGGTGTCAAAAGCCTTCCTGGCTAAAAATGCCCAGCAGGGGGGCCAGAGAGAGGGAACCAAGCTCACCTGCATGGGCAGGGGGCTCCAGAGCATGGGGTCAGCGCACAGAAGCCCCCTCCCCACGCCCTCACTTAATGTGCCTCTGGTGCGGAGCGTCTTAAAAGCCGGGGCAGGAGCAGGGGAGAAAGCCACCTTTCCTGGCTTCTGCGCCAAGGACTCTGGTCCCACCCCGCCCTGCGAATCCTGCCTGAAAGCAGGCCAGCCGTCCAGCAACCAGCACCGCGATCCAGCGGAAATCCCCAAGCTCTTTTTAAAGGCAGCCCCACATAAAGCTTGCTGGGGTCCAAACAGACTATGAAGCAACCCAGGGAGGCAGCTTGGTTCTGCTCCGTAGAAGAAGACCCTCCAGAGCGATCTGGCCAAGCACCCAGCCAGATGGGAACATGGGCAGCTGCCCGAGAGCGGGCTCATTCGCGCTTCGTGCCCTCCACTTGTGCATGCAGAGCCGGGGGGGGGGGGGATTTGTCATCCATGTGACCCTGCAGGTCCCAATCCCCAAAACTCCCATTTTCTAGTCAAACCCCACCCCGAACTTCAGTTTGAACGCAAGAACCTGACTTTATGGGTTGGGCCCTGTTCCTTTTGAAAATTATTCACTTAACTTTTCTTTCATCTGCTCCTTGCTGCTGAGTTACATAACACCATTAAAGGGCTGAAGGACCCATTCCACTAATGGCTTGTTGTTATTGCCGTGCTCAAGTAAACTTTCATCCAAAGCAGGTGTGAATTTCCACTTGAAAGCCAAGCGGGTTGCCCACATCAATACCGGGGTGCTCTGCTCCTTTCATATGGTCCCCAGTGGCTCGGTCCTGAGGACACCCAGACTCCGAGCGAGCAAGCCAGCTCCATGATGGCTGCAGCTCCAGGCCCCTGATCGAAAGCACTCAGGCCTGAACGGCATGGAGGGGTCTGTGATAAGGAAGGCTAAAAGCTTGGCTAATGCGCTCTGACATGCTGTCACACCCAGGATGAAACAGCTCACTTTTTCATTTTAAAGAGCAGCATTTCCAAAGAAGAAGCAGCTTATCAGTTGCCCTGCAAACTTTTTTTCCTCGCTTCCTGGTATCAGTCGCCCGGAGCTGCAGCAACCAACGGCAGCCCAAGAGCATCCTCAGCTGGGCTCGGCTCCTTGGAGTGAATTAACTGCGCCAGTTCAGCGGTGGGCAAGTGATCTTGCTTCTGCCAGAGCCCAAAAGCTCACCAACTGGCGCCAAAGGAAAACGGATGACTCCAGCTGAGTCTCAGAAGGAGTGGGATGGACATCCTGCTCAGAGGAAGATCCGCTTTTTCTTTTCTCCCATTTCTTTCTTTCTTTGACTGGGGACTCCATGTCCTAAGGCGGCTCCCCCTTTTGAAATGAGTTGGCAGCGGGTATGAATACCCAGCTCCTTGCGAAAAACAGCCCAAGAGGAGTCCTGTCAGAAACCCCCTTTGAAGGGAACCAGAGTCCTGAGGGCTGGCCACCGGTCAAAACAGCTCCCTTCCACAGGGAGTGGCTTGCACATTTCCACTCTCAGGCACGAGTGGAAAGGCAAGCACACGCTGAGGACAGTGAGTGCTGGGGGGGGGGGGGCCCCCCCCAAACGGAGCGCAAATCCCTGCCTTCTGAAGTACAGATCAACTGTGTCTTCATCTGGCTCATCAGGTCCCCTTCTGGCGGTGGTCCAGCCGAACCACTGTGGTCTCAGGGACCAGCCAAGGCGCAGGCTCACCCCCCTGCCCCGTGGGGAGCAGCTCACGGGCCCATAGGCCTGCACCCTGTCAGCCTGACGGGACAAGTGCATGGCAGAGCTTCCTCCTCTCGCTGGCCTTCCTGGAGGGGAGCAGGGCTCAGCACGAGGCGCCAGCGGGTGCTGGTGACCCCGAACTTTCCATGCTGGCGGGTGCCAGAGCAGGTGCCCGGCGAAGGTGCCTGCGCTCTCTCCTGCGCAAGGACTGTGGAGGTGGCCAGCCTCCTTCTCCAGGGCACACCCTGGGCTTCCCAAGTGCTGCATGGCAGGCGCCTGCCCAGACCAGTCCCAGGCTGCCGCTTCGCCCTCGGGCTTCCCTGGCAGCGCAGCCCTCCGAGGCGGCCACCACGCAGGTGCCTTTCTCCCCCTGCAGACATGACCTTTGCTTATGCTCAGAAGCACTCCACTGCAAGCAGCAACATATTTGACGGCAAAAGCGGCCACCCTGCGCAAAAGTAGGAAGCCCAACAGTTCAGGAGGTGGAACTCACATCCATTGCTGTGGGGTGAAGTGGCCGCTTTGCAGTGATTGGCCTGATTTTATGCTCTCTCCTGTCTGATCAATTCATGCTTCAAATACTTGACTATAGTTTGACCAATCCAGCCAAGCAGTTTGGTAATGGTTCTTCCCCTCCCCTCCCCTCCCCTCCCCATCCTTTGTTCTTGCCCCCTTCAGTTCCCTATAACTTGGCCAGGATCCTGCAGGAGCTGTTAGGATGCCTCCACTTCTGGTGCTTCAGTTTCCTGTTGCACCACACCCGCATGGGACAGCCCCAGCTTGGCCAGTCCCCTTGAACTGGGTTCTGTGAATGTAATATATTGAGACAGAGAGAGAGAGGGAGATGGAGAGAGCGCAAAAGCAACTAGGGCCTTCGTCTCTCGTGATGCTCCCGGGCAGCCTTTTGAACTTGCAAAACTGCCAGCTCTTGGTCAGCAGCACAAGCAGCGGGAGGGGCGGCCAAGGAGGGTGTCCAGGCACATCATCCCAGCTCTTGCACTCGCTGCATATCCTGCCTTTCCCTAGAAGCGCTTACGGTGGAGTAGGACATTCTCCTCGCAACCACCCTGTGAGGCAGAGCCACGGCTGAGCGGGTACGGGGACTTGGCTCATCCCAGCCAAAATGGAACGTTTTGAAGACCGCAGGGCTCAGAGCCCTGCCAAGAGGGGGCAGCAAAGAGAACCGACCGGAACATCTCTGAGCCAGCTGAGAAGGCAAACAACGAACCAGGACAAATGGAAGTTCCCCGCCCTGCCCGCTGCAGCTCAGCCCCTTTCCTGATCAAAGAGGGGGCAAAGACAGGTCTAGCCCCAAACAGGCATGGCCCAGGCAGCTCTGAAGCTGTGGCTCCACTCCGAGGAGTTTTCACAGAGGTGACCTTTACCACTGGGCACCCAGCCTCCCCCTGGTGAACAAGCTGCTGGTGCCTTTCCTGCAGCCCCTTCCTCTGTCGGGCACTCGCACTCCAAGGTGAAGTGCCAGAATGTCTGTGACGCAGTTTGGGCATCACAAACACCCACAAGGGGAGCTTTATCTCCGAACTGAGTGAGCACACCTTGAACAAGCAGCTCTGGGTTCTGTGCACATGATGCGCAGCATCGTTCACCTGGAAGTAAACCGAGTCCCTGCTGTGCCCACCGATGCAGAAGCAAGCCGAGTGAGTTCGGTGCATGTGCTCAGATCCCTCTCCTCTCCTGCACCTCCGCGGAGCTGTAGGAAATCCCGGCTGTCCCCCTCCAGTAGTCTGAGGGGTGCAGCCACTGAGCCGGGGACCGCCCAGCAGTCCCCAAGGGAGAGGCGACTCGTGGGCCCTGCGGCACTCGACCAGCAGTCCTGCCTCCTCCGTCTCCATCCCCGCTCCCTGCCTGGCGAGCACCCTCCCCACCCGTGCTGCACCCCGGTGGCGGAGTGCTGTCTGGACAGAAGCGGCCTCCGTGCCTCTCCCTGCCTGGAGAGGCAGGTGGGAGACGGACCCGTCGCAATGCCGGCCCTCTCCTCTCCGATGGGTCAGATGGCGCCTCGCCATGCCCCCCCCCCCGGTTACCTCGGATGCCTTTGAGGACATGGAAGCAGCACCCGGGGAAGGGGGCCGCCCTCCGCAGCTCCTCCAGCGCCTCGGCATTCGTTGCCTCCTTCCCGGGGGGTGAGGGGCCCGTCAGTCGCTCGACATTTTCGTAGGGGTTTTCCAGGATGGATTTGGGGTTGTAGATCGCCCTGATCTTCAGCGAGGAGGAAGGCGAGCCATTGTAGACGGGGTTGTCCCAGGCCCCTTTCCCCAGAGCGTCCAGTTCGTGCTCCTCCTGGGCTTGGAAATGGCTTTCTGCTCTGTTGTTGAGGCGGGAAGCACTCATGGCGGGTGCCTCGTCCTGATCCCGCTGCAGGCCGCTCAGCCACACTCCCGAGGCGCCACACGTCTGCGCCACTCGTTGCCCAGGGGCCTCTTTTATACCAGTTCCTTGGGTGACCGGCACAGAACGGAGGCACAGCCCAATGCTGGGAGCAGCTGTAAACCCGATGCTACACCCAGGGGAGGTTCCCGTCTGCCTGCAGGTGACGGTCATGAAAGCCCGACGGGAAACGAGGCTGCCTGGCCCTTGGCTGGCTCCTCTGGCCGGGCTGCCAGAGAGGGAGGGGGCAAGAGCAGGGCATTCATTGGCCACCTTGGCTGCCGGCGTCCGTGAGTGGCACCCGCTCATCCCCAGGCACGACGGCTCGGTTTTAAATAGAGCCGCGCCACGGGAGCACTTGAGAGCCGTACATCAAAACTTACACGTGCTTCCCAAGGCCGGGCTTTGAACTGAGGTTCCTAAGAGCGCCTGAATTCTGCAAACAGCCACACAGATGCTTTATTGTGGCACCCACAGCAACCGTCCAACAGGCACGGAGACAATTTGTGGAACCACACACTGACCCGTGTCTGAAGAACACACGCAGCGTTCAGGTGAGTGACCTGCACAGGGCGGTGCTGAGCAAAGGCCAGCGCTCCCCCTTCCAGAAGGGTCTCTGCATGGAAGAGTTCCTTCTCCCGCAGGGAGGCCAGGAGCCTGCCCGTCGGCAGCCACGTTCCGTGGCATGCCTGCGACAGGTGCTTCCCTCTGCCTGCTCTTCCAGGAATGCGCCAGGAAGAAGGCTGGTTGCATCTTAGTACGGATCATCCCTCTGCCAGGTCACGCAGTGCACTGCCAGGCCCTGGTGCCCTTTCTTCCTCCACTAGTTTCTCTTTGTATCTTCCCCTCGACCCGGATTGCAGCCCTCAGGCTGCCCTGCCCTGCCCTGCCCTGGTTGGGTTGCAAGCGCTCCTTTACCAGCAGCAGCCCCAAAGCCCGTACGCAATCAGCCTTTTCTTCGAAGTTCTCCCAGGGGCTCTGCGCTCCCCATGCAAAGCCGCCTGCTCCTGAAGATGTTGCGCATGTGTTTCTTCTTATTGTGTATGCCATGCACCAGGTACATACCGCAGGTATTTTATTTATGTATTTATTTATTTATTTTCCGATTTATACCCTGCCTTTTTCCTACAAAGGGCTCAAGGCAGCTTCCATCATTCTCCTCCTCCATCTTCTCCCCACAACAACAACCCTGTGAGGTGGGTTGGGCTGAGAGTCCGTGACTGGCCCACAGTCACCCAGTGGGCTCCATGGCTGAGTGGGGACTCGAACCCAGATCGTCTGAGTCCCAGTCCCACACTCTTAATCACTGCACCACACTGGCTGTCACCACATTGAATGCCATCCTGATGTCTCCTGCCCACTTCCATAGTCTGCCCAGATCCTTTTGGATCTGCAGTACCTGCTCCTCAGTTGTGGCCACTGCCCAGTTCAATATCATCCGCGAATTTGATCAGCAGACTGTTCACCCCTCCCTTCTTTTATTTATTTATTTATCGATTTATATCCTGCCTTTTTCCTACAAAGGGCTCAAGGCAGCTTACATCATTCTTCTCCTCCATCTTATCCCAACAACACCCCTGTGAGGTAGGTTGGGCTGAGAGTCTGCAACTGGCCCAGAGTCACCCAATTGGCTCCATGGACGAGCAGAGACTCGAACCCGGATCGCCTGAGTCCCAGTCCCACGCTCTTACCCACTACGCCACACTGGGTATAATTTACCAAACAAATGAAACCCTATCAAGTGATGAGTCCAGATGATCAAAAAGGTGCCCAAGACAAGAGTGGGAGACTCCGGAGAAAGTGCAGCCTGGCTGAGCTCGGCCTGGAAGCTCGTGCCGTTGAGTCGGAAGATTAAACCGAAGGATTTCCACACAGGGCTGTGCAGACTGGAGATGCAGCTGGAGCCTGAAGGACGGGTAGACAGACAGACCCAGAGAAAGCTGAAAACATAGCTGGGACCAGTAAAAAAGAATGCAAGCTCGGTTCCTTAATAATACTGTGCTTATTAGATACACAGCGTGAAGCATGAAAACACTGCAAAAGATACATCCGCTCTAAAAATATAGAAGGGCAGATGGGGTGCAGGATCGGTCTCAGCCGCTCCGAGAGTTGCTTTCTGCTCTGTGCAGGGATTGGGGTTGCCCTTTAGAGAAAATGCACGCACTGCCAGCGTTAGTGGACGGACTCAGTACTGAGTGGGTCTTTCGCGCATTAAACAGCGAGCCAAGATTGCAGTCCTTCAGGCTTCTTCACTAAATGGATATTCCCCGTTTGTGTCTGCTGCGGATGCAAAGAGGAAGCCAGGCTTCCCAAAACCACTCTCTGCCTTTCAAGGGAAGCAGACAGAGGGGGCCCCTCACTTTCAGATGCTGCCAAAGCAAAGACAGTTGCAGGCCTCCATCTGGTGGCTATTGCTTCAATTGCAGGAGAAGCGGCCTTCTAAAAGGGATCGTCCAGCTCCAGTTAATGGGAATGTTCCATCCCAGCAAAGGGCCGCAGCCGTGAGCAGCAAGGAGGAGAAAGCCCCACCGCAGTGGATGCTCCTCCACTGTGCCAAATGGATTTTGCTTCCCCAGAAAAAAGTAAAAGAACAATGCATTTAAATATCCAATTGCATCAACTTAATCCGCTAAATCGTAGTCTGTGTGACCTGGATTTGCACATTGTACCAAGGAATACTGGTCTTCTACCATGGTTCATCTGTCATGGGTGAGACCTCGTTGCCTCTTCAAATGGGGCTCATGGGTAACACACCAGGCAGTAGGAAAGGGGGCACCCTGCGCTCTGCCTTCCTCGCTCTCCTGCACCGATCCCTCATCCCCAGCACATGCCTGGACTGTCCACCAGCTTCGTTTGGCCTTCCCTGTCGCATCTGCAGCACACGCCTTTCCCTGGCCTTTCGTGTTCCCAGCCAGCCGCACTGAAGCAGTTCCAGCTGGGCGTGCTCTGCTCCATCCCGGCAGGGGGCAGGGGCGCCTCCAGCCGCCACCCAGACACCTCCTCCTGGGCAGGTGAGCAGTGCTGCCCTGGAAATGTGTCTCCGGGATGGTGCTGCCGGTGCTGGAGGACTCGAGGAGAGGCCCCGAGCATGTTTGCCCGGCAGAGCCAGGATGCAGGCGTCTTCTGGAGCTCCCCCTGGGCAGACCGCTGGACCGGGGCTCTTCCCCGGAAGGCCACCCCCGTGCCCTGGAGGGAGCACCCCAGTGTGGGGGCCACCTAGGCCTGCCCTTGGCTCAGCGCCTTTCCAGGTTTTGGACAGGCGGAGGACGGGCCGTCACGGGTGTCCTTTGCCTGCCCACAAGTGTGCATTCCTCAGATGAGTCAGCCTGGGCTCCCAGAGGAAGCCTGACATGCCAGTCCCAGGGGCAGAGCCTTCCCCAGCACCAGCCGCCCATCTTCATCTCCAGAAGGGGGGCTGGGGAGGCCTCCGGATGGGTCCAGGGCCCACTGGGCTGCTGCCACGGCGCCTCTGAGGGCGACAGCTTGAGGGTCCCCCTGACATGGAGCATTCCGCTGCGGGTGCCCGGTGCATCGGCCCCCTCCTTCCGGCCGGGGGTGCGCCCTGCTCTGGCTGATCTCCCGAAGGCAGCGCCGTTTCCAAGGCGCGTTCAGCAGCTGGCTCGCCAAACGAGCAGGGCGCCGGCCTGCGCTTCCAGCACGCGCCCAGCAGGGGGCAGAGGAGCGGCTTCCGAAGGGCGAAGGCGGGCCCTGGTGGCGCTTTCCAGCACCGCCGAGAGCCCTGCTCCCTTCGCGCACGCCCGGCCTTTGCCGCCTCCCAGCCCAGGCCCAAGGGCAGCAGGTGCTGTGCTTCTCCTCCCTACCAAAAATAAATACCTGTTCTGAAAAGCCGACACACCCCTGCTCAGATGCCCCCAGGAAGGGTTCTAGCTTAGTGATTCCTGATAGGCTAGTTGTCTCCCTGCAGGGATTCACTGCTTGCTTTTGATTTTGAACTAAAGTGATCACATGCGACCAAATTTTGTTGACTAAAACAAAGGCAGTCCAAATATCCATGTATATATCCATCTGTAGATCACACCTAAAGGCCACTTTCAAAAACTGAAAATTTAATTAAGCCTGCCACCCAGCGAGTTATTGAAGGCAGCTATTTATCCTTCCCATGTGAGCTGTCAAAAAGGCCCAGAGAATCCATTTACGTGACCTGGCATTAAATTCCAAGAGACAGGTAGGTAATTCAAAAGAAAATGTGTATGCATATATATTAATGTTTCTTCCCAAGATTTATCTCAGTGATTATCTCCCAAGAGGAAGCTGCCATTGGACACCTCCAGCAATTGGCTGGTTCAATTAAGCCCCTTTCAAAGAGACCATGTGGCCTCCCATGTACTCAGGACAACCATCTTTGCTGAATTACGCATAGCCGGAGAGCCACAGCGCCTCGCAACGTGAGCAGCAATGGAACTCCACGGACTGGGTGCTCCAGTTCATGCCTCCGCCCTCGGCTGAGACCATGCCCATCCACCGAAAACGCTTAATCGGCAGGCAGGGATCATCGGCCGATGTAGCTCCACGGCCTCGCCAACACTTCCAGCGGCACAGGTGGCTCCACAAGCAGCGGGACCATGCCCGGGTCCCTGGATCACCCCGCAGCCCAAGCCAGCTGCAGAGATTTAGCACTTGCTGCAGAAAACGCCTACCTGTTATCACCAAGACTGACAAGCTGATCCAAGGCGAAAACCAGCTGGACCATGCAAGCCCGCCACAGAAAGATTTCCTTGCTAATTTCTTGCCTCCTGGCGGCATGGCTCTTGGCTTCTCTGAGCCCGCCAATCCCCCGCCATGCTCAGGTGGGCCTCCGAGAGAGGGGAGCTGCGCGATGCAGCGAAGCATCTGTTTAGCTCTGTGACGCTCGGCCTCCACGCCGCCCAGGTCCAAGGGGCAGAGCCCCCTTTTGCACACGGCCGCAGGCCCTGCTTCAGCAAAAGGGCGGGTGCCTGATGCAG